TGGGACAAGAGTTCCGCACTGGGGGCAGGGACGGTCCCTGGGACAAGCATGGGACAAGAGTTCTGCACTGGGGGCAGAGACGGTCCCTGGGACAAGCATGGGACAAGAGTGCTGCACTGGGGGCAGGGACAGTCCCTGGGACAAGCATGGGGACCAGCATTCTGCACTGGGGGCAGAGACAGACCCTGGGACAAGCATGGGAACCAGCGTTCTGCACTGGGGGCAGAGACGGTCCCTGGGACAAGCATGGGGACCAGCGTTCTGCACTGGGGGCAGAGACAGTCCCTGGGACAAGCATGGGGACCAGCGTTCTGCACTGGGGGCAGAGACAGTCCCTGGGACAAGCATGGGACAAGAGTGCTGCACTGGGGGCAGGGACAGTCCCTGGGACAAGCATGGGACAAGAGTTCTGCACTGGGGGCAGGGACGGTCCCTGGGACAAGCATGGGGACCAGCGTTCTGCACTGGGGGCAGAGACAGTCCCTGGGACAAGAATGGGACAAGAGTTCTGCACTGGGGGCAGAGACGGTCCCTGGGACAGGCATGGGACAAGAGTTCTGCACTGGGGGCAGGGACTGTCCCTGGGACAAGCATGGGACAAGAGTTCTGCACTGGGGGCAGGGACGGTCCCTGGGACAAGCATGGGACAAGAGTTCTGCACTGGGGGCAGGGACGGTCCCTGGGACAAGCATGGGGACCAGCGTTCTGCACTGGGGGCAGAGACAGTCCCTGGGACAAGCATGGGGACCAGCGTTCTGCACTGGGGGCAGAGACGGTCCCTGGGACAAGCATGGGGACCAGCGTTCTGCACTGGGGGCAGAGACGGTCCCTGGGACAAGCATGGGGACCAGCGTTCTGCACTGGGGGCAGAGACGGTCCCTGGGACAAGCATGGGACAAGAGTGCTGCACTGGGGGCAGGGACAGTCCCTGGGACAAGCATGGGGACCAGCATTCTGCACTGGGGGCAGAGACAGTCCCTGGGACAAGCATGGGAACCAGCGTTCTGCACTGGGGGCAGAGACGGTCCCTGGGACAAGCATGGGACCCAACGTTCTGCACTGGGGGCAGAGACAGTCCCTGGGACACGCATGGGGACCAGCGTTCTGCACTGGGGGCAGAGACAGTCCCTGGGACAAGCATGGGAACCAGCGTTCTGCACTGGGGGCAGGGACGGTCCCTGGGACAAGCATGGGGACCAGCGTTCTGCACTGGGGGCAGAGACAGTTCCTGGGACAAGCATGGGGACCAGCGTTCTGCACTGGGGGCAGAGACGGTCCCTGGGACAAGCATGGGGACCAGCGTTCTGCACTGGGGGCAGAGACGGTCCCTGGGACAAGCATGGGGACCAGCGTTCTGCACTGGGGGCAGAGACGGTCCCTGGGACAAGCATGGGACAAGAGTTCTGCACTGGGGGCAGAGACAGTCCCTGGGACAAGCATGGGACAAGAGTTCTGCACTGGGGGCAGGGACGGTCCCTTGGACAAGCATGGGGACCAGCGTTCTGCACTGGGGGCAGAGACGGTCCCTGGGACAAGCATGGGGACCAGCGTTCTGCACTGGGGGCAGAGACAGTCCCTGCGACAAGCATGGGGACCAGCGTTCTGCACTGGGGGCAGAGACGGTCCCTGGGACAAGCATGGGGACCAGCGTTCTGCACTGGGGGCAGAGACAGTCCCTGGGACAAGCATGGGGACCAGCGTTCTGCACTGGGGGCAGAGACGGTCCCTGGGACAAGCATGGGGACCAGCGTTCTGCACTGGGGGCAGAGACGGTCCCTGGGACAAGCATGGGGACCAGCGTTCTGCACTGGGGGCAGAGACGGTCCCTGGGACAAGCATGGGACAAGAGTTCTCCACTGGGGGCAGAGACGGTCCCTGGGACAAGCATGGGACAAGAGTTCTGCACTGGGGGCAGGGACGGTCCCTTGGACAAGCATGGGGACCAGCGTTCTGCACTGGGGGCAGAGACAGTCCCTGGGACAAGCATGGGGACCAGCGTTCTGCACTGGGGGCAGAGACAGTCCCTGGGACAAGCATGGGGACCAGCGTTCTGCACTGTGGGCAGAGACGGTCCCTGGGACAAGCATGGGGACCAGCGTTCTGCACTGGGGGCAGAGACGGTCCCTGGGACAAGCATGGGACAAGAGTGCTGCACTGGGGGCAGGGACAGTCCCTGGGACAAGCATGGGGACCAGCATTCTGCACTGGGGGCAGAGACAGTCCCTGGGACAAGCATGGGAACCAGCGTTCTGCACTGGGGGCAGAGACAGTCCCTGGGACAAGCATGGGGACCAGCGTTCTGCACTGGGGGCAGAGACAGTCCCTGGGACAAGCATGGGGACCAGCGTTCTGCACTGGGGGCAGAGACAGTCCCTGGGACAAGCATGGGACAAGAGTTCTGCACTGGGGGCAGGGACAGTCCCTGGGACAAGCATGGGACAAGAGTTCTGCACTGGGGGCAGGGACGGTCCCTGGGACAAGCATGGGGACCAGCGTTCTGCACTGGGGGCAGAGACAGTCCCTGGGACAAGAATGGGACAAGAGTTCTGCACTGGGGGCAGAGACTGTCCCTGGGACAGGCATGGGACAAGAGTTCTGCACTGGGGGCAGGGACGGTCCCTGGGACAAGCATGGGACAAGAGTTCTGCACTGGGGGCAGAGACAGTCCCTGGGACAAGCGTGGGGACCAGCATTCTGCACTGGGGGCAGAGACAGTCCCTGGGACAAGCATGGGAACCAGCGTTCTGCACTGGGGGCAGAGTCGGTCCCTGGGACAAGCATGGGACAAGAGTTCTGCACTGGGGGCAGGGACGGTCCCTGGGACAAGCATGGGGACCAGCGTTCTGCACTGGGGGCAGAGACAGTCCCTGGGACAAGCATGGGGACCAGCGTTCTGGACAGCGTTCTGCACTGGGGGCAGAGACGGTCCCTGGGACAAGCATGGGGACCAGCGTTCTGCACTGGGGGCAGAGACGGTCCCTGGGACAAGCATGGGGACCAGCGTTCTGCACTGGGGGCAGAGACGGTCCCTGGGACAAGCATGGGGACCAGCGTTCTGCACTGGGGGCAGAGACGGTCCCTGGGACAAGCATGGGGACCAGCGTTCTGCACTGGGGGCAGAGACGGTCCCTGGGACAAGCATGGGGACCAGCGTTCTGCACTGGGGGCAGAGACGGTCCCTGGGACAAGCTGGCTGGCTAGAACAGCTAGAGTTGGCTAGCTCTGGGTTCAACAAGAGACTGCTTCAAAAAGGTAGTGATCAAGGAAGACAACTTTGAACTTCCACGTGTATGTGCCCAAGGGTACCCAGACGTACTAACATACTCTCTGGTCAGCCTAGCATACTTCATGAGTTACAGGCTATGGGGTTTAAGGAATGAATGTTCAAGGTTGTCCTCTGATCTCCATGTGCACAGGCATACATGGAAATACACACACAATAATACACCATGTACATTGTTTTGTATTTTTTATTTAATTTAGGTGAGGATTATATCATCTTAGAAAATGCAGACCTCTCACCAGGCGCTGTCGGGAGGCAGAGGCATTCAACTCTCTGAATTTGAGGCCAGCCTGGTTTACAGACCTGAGTCCAGAACACAGAGAAACCCTTTTCAAAAAGTAAAAAAGAAATGCAGACCTCTCAGTTGTTTTTTAGATAAATTTTACCATCTTTTTCTTTCTTTTTTTTTTTTTTTTTTTTTTTTTGGTTTTTACGAGACAGGGTTTCTCTGTATTGTTTTGGAGGCTATCGGTCCAGCCCAGCCTCGAACTCACAGAGATCCGCCTGCCTCTGCCTCCCGAGTGCTGGGATTAAAAAATTTTACCATCTTAAAATTCTTAAAAATGTGATGACTTAAATGTACAGTTGTTCTGGGGTGTAGCTTGGTGACAGCATATGTTTAGACATACAAAGCCTGTCTTAGTCACTGTTCATTGCGGTAAAGAGACACCATGACCAAGCCAACATATGAAAGCATTTGATTGGGAGGTTTGCTTGCAGTTCAGAGAATGAGTGCATGACCATCATGGCAGGGAGCATGATAGCTGGCAGGCAGGCTTGGCACAGGAGCAGTACCTGAGAGCTCATATGATCCATAAGCAGGAGGCAGGGAGATACTGGGCCTGGTTTGGGCTTTTGAAACCTTAAAGCTCCCCCCCCCCCAGTGACGTATCTCCAACAAGGCCCGCCACACCTCCTAACCCTTCCCCAAACCTAGTAGTTCACCAACTAGGAACCAAGCACTCAAATACATGTATGAACTTATGGGGGCCATTCTCATCCAACCCACCACAACCACTACAGTCATCAGCACCCCACAAAAGATAAAGTGTGCAGGTCACATTTGTTAAAAGATGTGTGTGATATACACGCACATGCATTTGCAGAACGTGCAGCAGGTACATGTGTGCATGTATGCTTATGGAGTCTAGAGGCTGACAACAGGTGTCTGGTTTTTTTCTTTTCTTTTTTCCCCTTCTAAGTTTCAGGACTCCTAATCTCTTAGTTTGAGTTAAATCAGTTCTCTGGTGGCCATATACTTACAGATTTTTTAACTATCACAAACTCCTGACTGACAATATATATTACTATGCCAGACAGTCACTTATATTTAAAAAAAAAGGGGGGGGCGAGCTCTGAATTCACACAGCCACCCCTAGAAGTAGTCCACTAATTCATTCAGGTAATGCAACCAACCCCAGAAGCTAAGTCGGGCTTTCCGCATACCTAAGTAACTAAGGGCAATACTGACACACTCTGGAAAAGAAATGAGAGGCTTGTTACTGCAGGAGAAGGATCTGATCTCTAGTTCTAACCCAGAGTAATCTTTAAGCCTAGGAAAGTGTTTGACAACCGCAAAGCCTTCGGTTATTACGGGGTGTGGACACTGAAGATTGGTACACGATCGTTTTAGCAAGGTAAGAAGTTGGTCCGGCACGTTGGATGGAAGTGCGTGTGATAGGAAATGAACACCAGTCTTGCCACAGTGCTCGCCAGGCATTCCCTCCTGCTGCGCCTACACTGGGGCACTCCCAGTGGCCCAAGCTGCCTTCTGGGTTTCTAACTGGGGTTTCTAACTGCTGAAAGCCTGCGTCCCAAGGTCTGCCTCTCCCCGGGAACCTCACCTCGGGCGCATTTTTCTCTTAGTGGATTCCAAAAGTCCCACGGTTAGGACCATTTAAGTTTGCGTGTATTAACGCTCACCGTGTCCTAGTCGGCTCTAAATCTCAGGCTTTTATTTGTCCATCCGGCTTTGGAGCTGAAGCTGGAAGAGGGCAGCTGACATCCGGTTGCACGGAGGCACGGACACTGGGCTCAGGAGGAGTGGCGCGCTGCAGGTCCACCTGGACCTGGGGACCCTTCCCGGGCCCTGGCGGTGGTCGTGCAGTCACGTGGCCTGAGGACGCGCGGCGGTGCGGGGCGAGCCACTGGAGGGGCGGTAGGTCCGATCCTTGGGACGGAGGCGCAGATTGCCCTCGTCAGGCCAGGACACTGGGAACCCGCGGTGGGAAGGGTCCGGAGCCCCGCTGCGCAGCAGTGGGAACTGCAGGTGGTGGTCTGATTAGCAAACGGGCTCCTTTCCCCTACAGCCAGCCATTAATGGCCTCGTCTGCAACTGGAGAATACCGATTTCAAAAACCTCGTTTCCTGTTTCTTCTTATTATTTATTAATTTTGAGCCATAGAGCAGCAACACACCGAATGCCATGCAATATCCTGGTTTTGATCCTGAAACAAAAAGGAAGGAACAAAAGTTCTCGACAAAAACAGGAAATCCACGGAAGTCTGTGGTTTAGTTAGGAACTTGCACCAGTGTTTTGGTCTCAATTTTTGATAAATGTTCCCTAGTGCTAACTTTAGAGACATTTGAGTGGAGGGTGTATAGCTCTAAGTCTTTAAAATTTATTATAAATCTAAAGTTATTCTAAAGTTAAAAGTTAGCCTATAAAGCTCCACAGCAAAATGAAGTGGGCCTTGGCTCGCTAAGGAGGGCTTATGTTAGCTTTTTCCCAAGCAGGACAGGAAGTAGGTAGCTGTTTGATCAACTTGTTTGCTAAAGCGGCTGTCAGACTAGTGGAGGTAGATCCTGCTGGCCTATGTTTTCCCCGTTGGAATTTGTCCTCTCTCATTTCTCTTCAACAAATATCGTGGGGCATTTGTTAGGTGTGAGTAAATGAGACACACTCTTTTAAACTAGTGGGAGCCATGGAATGACGTAAGGCCAGAAAGGGACATCATTAGATCTGTGTGAAAGGTACTGACGATATGTAGGGTGGCGTTGTCAATTTAGCCCAGGAGTCATCAGATATTCAACCAGGAAATTAAATTGCAAAAGATATGATTTGGTTAGACCTTTGTGAGTCTTGAAAACTTGAAAAACGGTTTGCAGTTAGAGCGCCATATCTCCTGCAGACTTGGAGAGATTCCGGAGTGAGCCCCAGTGTCCTGGTTTGAAGTTAGAGCGTCATATCTCCTGCAGACTTGGAGAGACTCAGGGGTGAGGCTAACTCTTGGAGTTAGCAATTAGCAGGTCACTACTTTTCAGAGTTATTTAGTGAAAATCAGGAAGATTGCTAGCAATCTATTTATGCTGTGTCCAGAAGCCTGGACAGGGAACCAGATGAGTCTTGTAGTTCTGGCTATACCCACTGCCTGTGTTATTTGAGCAAATCATGTAACATTTCTCAATGAGATCAAGAAAAACCTTTTATTTCTAGAAATACTAATAGGGTAGAGAAATGTTCCATGGAACACACTTTGCAAAATGCCAATACAAAAATAGAGGTTTAAAACTCTTAAAAAAAATCAAAGCCAGCCCTTGGAAGGCAGAGGCAGGTGGATGTAGAATGAAGTTTCTGTTCCACCTAGTTCTGCAGCCGTTTAATTCCAAATAAACACACAGAGGCTTATATTAATTATAAGCTGTTTGGCCTATGACTCAGGCTTCTTATTGCCTAGCTCTCTCTTAATTATTAGCCCATTTCTATTAATCTGTGTATCTCCACATGGTCTTGGCTTCCCAGTGATGCTGAGCCTCTTGTTTTCTCAGCAGCTACATGCTGTCTCTCCTACTCCGCTACTACCTTTCTCTATCCCTATTTGGATTTCTCACCTGGCTAAATCCTGCCTGTCCATTGATAAACAGCTTTGTTTATCAACCAATAAGAGAAACACATGTTCATAGCATATAGAAGGACATTCCACTGTCAGGTAGAACTCTATGAATTCAAGGCCAGCCTGGTCTACAGATCAAGTTCCAGGATAGCCAGAGCTACACAAAGAAATCCTGTCTTGAAAAAAATTTTTTTAATTATATGTAATCTCCTCACTCAATAAGTAGGTAAACTGGTGCAAAAATCCTTCCTTCTGGAGGGGGGATTTGATCTTATTATATTGCCCAGTTTGGTCTCAAATACATGCTGTTAAGCAATCCTTCTTGCTCAGTCTTTTGAATACCTGGTCATATACCACCAAGTTGGTTTAATACTCAACTATTTGACTATTGTAGCTGATCTCAGACATATCCATGGTGCTCCAGATGACCATGTCCAGTCGTTACACCTAGACTCACTTTGGAGCCAGTGTCTCAATCAAGATCAGAGATCAGCAGTTATGAACTCAAGCCCAGACTCCTGAGATGGCACTTTAGTCCACACCCTGCTGTCTCCCTGATTAATGTCAAACACACTAAACTCACTAGAAGGCTTGTAATTCTGTAGATGGATTTTTCTTTGGGCTACCAGCTCACACACACACACAAAAATGACTTATTGTTAATTACGAAAGCTTGGCCTGTAGCGCAGGCTTGTCCTACCAGCTCTTCTGACTTAACCCATTTATACTAATCTATGTTTTACCTTGTTGTCTTTTACCTCCCTTCCATCTTGCACTTCCTGCTTCCCCTCCATGTCCTCTAGGGCCTCTCCCAAGCCAAGATTCATCTACTCCTTTCCTCTCTCTGCCTGAAAGTCCTGTCTAGCTATTGGCCATTCAGCTCTTTATTAAACCAATCAGAAGGCGCCTTGGCAAAGACACATCCTCACAGTGCGCAAAAAGATTATTACACAACATGATTCTAAGAAGCAGTGTGTCCCCAGAGTAGTTTGATTTTTCCTAACACATTTGAATACTGTACAGCCAATACCCATCAAAGTTACCTTTGGAAAGAAACATTGGAGCCGGGAGGTGGTGGCATATACCTTTAGTTCCAGAACTCAGGAGGTAGAGGCAGGCACATCAAAGAAGCCTGGTCCACAGAGTGAGTTCCAGGATGACCAGAGCTAACCAGAGAAACCCTGCCTGGCGGAGGGGTGGGGCTTTAGAGAGGGATGTAGCCTAGTGGCAAAGCCTTGACCCTTCGTGCACAAGGCTTTGGGTTCAATTCCCCTTGTTAAAACAAAACAAAACCCCACCAAAACAATAGGATGCTAGAAGATAGGAAAACTCATTATATTCAGCACTGAGTGGCAAGACAACTCACCATGTATAATATATGTGGTACATTAACAGATGTTCTTGAGCGGGGCAGAGCTAGAAGTTTTGCCAAAAGTTTAAGGCCAGCCGGGCGTTGGTGGCGCACGCCTTTAATCCCAGCACTTGGGAGGCAGAGGCAGGCGGATCTCTGTGAGTTCGAGGCCAGCCTGGACTACCAAGCGAGTTCCAGGACAGCCTCCAAAGCCACAGAGAAACCCTGTCTCGAAAAACCAAAACCAACCAACCAACCAACCAACCAAACAAACAAAAGTTTAAGGCCACCTGAGCTACATAGTAAGTGCCCAGGCCAGCCAGAGGACTCTGTCTTAAAAAGAAAAGAATCTTACTCGATATGGCAATGAATGATTGCAAATCCAGCACTCAAGAGACAGAGGCAACAAGACCACAAGTTCAAGGTCAGCCTGGGCTGCATAGAAGTCTAGAACATGTCTCAGAAAACAAAAATCACAATAAATTCTTAAACTGGATGTGTTGGTGCACACTGGGTGTGTTGGTGCACACTGAGTGTGTTGGTGCACACGAGGTATATTGGTGCACACTGGGTGTATTGATACACATGAGGTGTGTTGGTGCACACTGGGTGTGTTGGTGCACACTGGGTATGTTAATACACACTGGGTGTGTTGATGTAGCACTCAGGAAGCAGAGTCAGGAGAATTGCAAGTGTGAAGCTAGTCTGTACCACACAGTAAATTTGAAGTCAGTCTAGACTATTAACAGGATCCTGTCTCAGAAAACAAAACAAAACAAAACAGAAAGCCTTGTTAACTCTGAGGTTATCCACAATTTATTCTCTCAGAGACCTCCTTTCCGCTTGAGTTGATCAGTTCTGTCTTCTCTCTTGCTACACACCTAGACCTGACCACACCCCCCTTCTTTTTCCTCTGGGGATTGAACCCAAGGCTTCATATAGTCTAGGCAAATGTTCTAGCCGTCAATCTCATTTTAGTGAAGACTCAAGATTGCATTTATCAGTCAGCACTCTATAGTAGGAGTAAATGCAGTCTCCCAAGACATTATTATTTGGTTCAATAAATAATTCCCTGTCTACGTTGATAAATAAGTTAAAATAGATTTAAAACAAAACAAAAACACACAAGGTTTCATGTATCTCCAGCTGGCCTCCAACTTGTGTGTGTCAGAGGGTGACCTTAAACTTTTGTAAAAATACTTTATTATAGACAGTTACTTGCTGTCATGTGGGTGCTGGGAATTGAACCCAGGCCCCTTGGAAGGGCAATCAGTGCTCTTAACCACTGAGCCGTCTCTCCAGTACTGCTCTAAGCTTCTGTATCCTCCTGCCTCTACCTTCTGAGTGTCATGTGCCACTATACCAGTTTCAAGGAGTGCTTGCTGGGAGTCTTTGCAAGCAGTCTGCTGACCGAGCGGCAGCCCCCATTCCCCAGATGTCCTTTTAAAGGTCATAACCATACCTTTTTATAAAGGGGTTGTGGCTTTATAAAAACTGCAAAAGAATGAAGCTAGAAACCTGCTTTTATTGTTCCCCTAATTAACTGCTTTAGATTTTTATTTTCGGTTCTACAAGTTCTGGAAACTGTGTATACTGTGAATCCCATGGTACTCAGCTTTGGAAGACTTGTTACCAGGCATGAGTCTCCAAAGACCTAGCTCCACCCCTTGTCAGCTGCTAACCATAGTAATATTGTCTTGCTCCAGGGTGTTTGTGAGATCGGAACAGTCTGAGAAAGCTCTTAGTCCACAGAAGGCCAGCATCCCCTGCTGGCTATGATGACATTTTACTTTTTATTTGTTTGCTTATTTGTTTTATTTTCTTTTTTTTAAGATTTATTTATTTATTATGTATACAGTATCCTGCCTCCATGCATGCCTGCATGCCAGAAGAGGACGCCAGATCTCATTATGGATGTTTGTGAGCCACCATGTGGTTGCTGGGAATTGAACTCAGGACCTCTGGAAGAGCAGCCAGTGCTCTTAACCTCTGAGCCATCTCTCCAGCCCCTGTTTTATTTTCTTTTGGGGGTTTTGAGGCACGATTTTTCTGTGTAACATCTCTAGATGTCCTGGAATTCACTCTGTGTAGACCAGGCTAACCTTGAACTCACAGAGATCTGCCTGCCTCTGCCTCCTGAGTGCTGGGATCAAAAGTGTTCACCACCACTGCCTGGCAATATCCTGTTTTTAAAAATTGCTTTCGCCGGGCAGTGGTGGCGCACGCCTTTAATCCCAGCACTGGGGAGGCAGAGGCAGGCGGATCTCTGAGTTCGAGGCCAGGCTGGACCGACAGCCTCCAAAACAATACAGAGAAACCCTGTCTCGTAAAACCAAAAAAATAAAAAATAAAAATTGCTTTCATACCTGGTGACAAAGGTTAGTAATCCCAACATTTGGTAGACTGTGGCAGGAGGATCTAGAGTTCAAGACGAGCCTGGGTTATATAATGGATCCAGTATTTTTTCCAACTAATTGACACATATCTCTTATATCTTAGTCCAATTTTTCTTGTATGTTTTGTGTTTTAAAATATTAGCATATTACTTAAATAAAATATATGTGTAAAAAAGCATGCCATTATAAGTATACAATTTGTGAGCTGGGGAGATGGCTCAGAGGCTAAGAGCACTAGCTATACTTCTAGAGAATCTGGGTTCAATTCCCATCACCCACATGGCAACTCACAACTGCCCAATTCCAGGGGATCCAACACTTTTACATAGATATACGTGTAAGCAAAACACCAATGTATATAAAATTAAAAAATTTTTTTAAATGTATTATTTGTTAAGTTTTGACAAATTACCAGTCTGGTTAAAATAAAGGACTATTCAGGCTGGACATAGTAGTGTACACCTTTAGTCTCAGCACTTGGGAGGCAGAGGCAGGGGAATCTCTGTATGTTCAAGGCCAACCTGGTCTACATAGTGAGGAGTTCCAGGACAGCCAGAGTTATGTAACAGAGATATACTATCTCAAAAAAAAAAAAAAGGATTATTCCATAACCACCCCAAACCTTCCTAATGATCTTTGAGATAACCTTCCCATTCCAGGCAGCTATTATTCTAATAGCTTATAATTTAGAAGATTCAGAGTTAGCTAGCCACTTTGGCCACCAATCAGGACACCAGTGCATTTTTTTTAAATTGTGTACTGCATGTTGAACTTATGCATGGTAGGCCAGTGTTCTACCATTGGGCTACATGCCCAGCCCTGCTAAACATCACTGTACATTAGTTTTAACAAGATCTCATAAATCAGTATCTGACTCTTCTTAGCGGAAGGTCTTACATTCTCCCCTCTTGTTGCATGTACGTCATCAGACACAATAAATAAAGCTGTAAAGTATTTAGTTTGTCACATTTTTGTTTTCTGTTGGTTAGTTGGTTGATTGGTTTTGGGGGACAGGATATTGCCATTTAGCCCAGGCTGTGCTGGTCTCAAGTTTATGATCCTCCTGTTTAACCTACTAGGCACTGGGATTACAAGCGTGCACCCCACATGCTGCACTGGGATTACACACATGCACCCCACATGCTGCACTGGGATTACACACATGCACCCCACATGCTGCACTGGGATTACAGGCGTGCACCCCATGTGCTGCACTGGGATTACAGGCGTGCACCCCACATGCTGCACTGGGATTACAGGTGTGCACCCCACATGCTGCACTGAGATTACAGGTGTGCACCCCACATGCTGCTGCACTGGGATTACACACATGTACCCCATATGATGATGCACTGGGATTACACACATGCACCCCACATGCTGCACTGAGATTACAGCTGTGCACCCCACATGCTGCACTGGGATTACACACATGCACCCCACATGCTGCAGTTTGCTGTTGATATTGTTATTCCGTTTGCTTTTTAGAAAAAGACTTGCGGTGTAGTTTAAACTATCTTGAAATCCATGACTCTCCTGCTTCTACTCCTGAGTGCTGGGAATACAAGTGAGCCCACCATACATGGCTATTGGAGTAAATTTATTGCTGAAGTTATTTCTGGAGATGAACATGGGTTATGTCTAGTTTTCGTTTTGTTCTGTTTTGTTTCTTTGTTTTGCTTTGTTTTTCAAGACAGGGTTTCTCTCTGTAGCCTTGGTTACCCTGGAATGCCCTCTGTAGACCAGGCTGGCTCCAAATTTACCGAGATATGCCTACCTACGCCTCCTGAGTGCTGGGATTGAAGACATGAGCCACCACCACCCAGTTTAGCATATGGTTTTAACAGTGAAAAATAAGATAGCAATCTCAGCAAGAAGCCCAAGACTGGTTCAGTGTCTGTGAAAGTCCCAGTAACCATCCGCTTAAGCAGCAGGGTGTTTATATCTCCGGTCTCATCTGCCTGAGGCTTGTTACTGTGGTTGTTTTATTATTATTATTATTACTATTACTATTATTATTATTATATTTTCTTCTCATTGAATTGAAGCTTGTCACTAGATTTTTTTTTAACTCAGTTAAAAAAATAAAAAGGTAAAACATTTCTACACAGTTGTAGCAAAACCACCATTTTGAAATGCCCAGTGTTGAAAGCCGGACTTCACCACACTCCATCCTGAAGGGAGGGGGCTGAGTGTCTGCAGCAGCTGCTCCCTGAGTGTAACCAAGTAAGTGACCCCAGGGGCTGGGGATGGAGAGGGCTTGGAGGTGGCACGTCCTCTATGATGCTGTTTCCAGAAGACATTTTCTTCTGGAAAAGAGGGCAAATCCTGTGGTACCCAGTGTGTGGCCTTGCTAGCATGACTGTTGTGCGTCCTTGTCCTAGAAAAGCAAGTGTTCTATGTGTTCATTGTCTCCTTTTTAATTTGTGAGTGAACAAGTCTTTACCGAGCAGCAGTTATGTCCGGTACTGTCTGTTTTTGGCCTGTCTGTTCTGCACGATGAGCAGGTCTGGGCCGTGGCAGAGGAAAATGTGCAGGTGTCTGACCTCGCCTAACACATATATGCAGTGAGTCATCTCCTGCTTCAATCAGAAGGATTGGTGGTATAATTTGAGAAGTCAGTAAAATATGGAGGAATATGTTACAGAGTTCTCAGTGCTCAGGGACGGAGGGAAATGGAAGCAGGAAGAGAAGCTGGGCGTGGTGGTGCATGCCTTTCATCCCCAAATTCAGGAGGCATAGGCAGGCAGATCTCTGTGGGTTCCAACCCACATCTGGCTACTTTATGTTATTGTGTTTTTGCTTTTGCTTTTAGTTTTTTTTTTTCCTTTTTTTTTTTTTTTAAGACAGGGTTTCCCTATATAACAGCCTTGGCCAAGGCTGTCCTGGAATAGCTTTGTAGACCAGGCTGGCCTTGAACTCAGAGATCCTCCTACCTCTGCCTCCCAAGTGCTGGGTCTAAAGGCATGTGCCACCACAGCCTGGCTTATTTCTATTATCTTAAGGCTAGTTCTTCTATGTAGCCCAGGCTGATCTTTTTTTTTTGTTTTGTTTTGTTTTTTCGAGACAGGGTTTCTCTGTGGCTTTGGAGGCTGTCCTGGAACTAGCTCTTGTAGACCAGGTTGGCCTCGAACTCACAGAGATCCGCCTGGCTCTCTGTGCTGGGATTAAAGGCGAGGGCCACCAACGCCCGGCTGCCCAGCTGATCTTAAACTAGCTTCTTCCTTCTAAGTGCTAAAGTTACAAGCCTTCAATACCACTGATAGATGAGCTTGCATATTTATTTCTTTATTTTAGTTTGCTGTGTTGGGGATGGAACCTAGGGCCTTATGCTGCTAGGCAAGTGTTCTACCAGTGAGCAGTATCTCCTGTCCCCGCACTTTCCATTTAAAGAGTATACCAAGAAAGGTCACTGAGAAGTGACAGGCACTGAAGTTACGACCCAAAAAGGCTAAGGAGCCAGGCGTACAGACATCTGGGGAGGTCCAGGCCAGGTAGCACAGAGCTCTGGGGTGCAGAATGTCCGGTCCACACCGGAGCAGCAGAGAGCCTGGGCTGACCAGCCTGGGCATGAGGAGAGAAGGATAGAATGCGGAGCCTTTGGCCATTGCGAGGCTTTGGTTTTTACTTGAGTTACACAATAGTGGGAGATTGTGAACACAATTGTGTCACTGTAATTTGAGAGAAGAAAGGGAGGACACTGAGAGGGACCCTTCCTCTGCCTGTTCACCACCCCTGAGCCACAACCCCTGAAGTAAGGGACAGAAGCCGGAGGCGGAGTCCTTCTGCGACTCATAAAGAAAACATGTCATTGGGGTGCTCGCTTACAGTTTCAGAGGTTCAGGCCATGATGATTGATCATGGCAGACTTGGTGCTGGAGCTGGCTACCACACTGAGGGAAGCTTGAGGAACTCACCGCAGAGCCCACCCCCGCCGTGACACACTTCCTCCAGCAAGACCGCATCTCTTAAAATGGCCACTCCCTTTGGGGCCATTTTCTCTCAAACCCCCACACCTACCCCATCCGCGGGCACTGCAGTCACACTTTCCTGCCTTCCCACAATTCACCTCGGCCTTTGAAGTAAGAGCTGGGACCCTTTCCTGTGGATAAAAGACCTGAGGTGTTAAATGTTTCTAACGAGGATTGCAGAGGGCATCTGCGAGCTAGGTTTTGTTTTACTTTTATAACTTATTTGTATTTACGTGTATGTGTGTACCTGTTTGTGTGTGGGTGCCCTTGGAGGCCAAAGCAGGTAGAGGATCCCGGCAGCCAGAGGCACAGGCAGGTGTGGGCTGCCTGATGTGGGTGCTGGGAATTGAACTCTTGTTCTCTGTGAAAGCATCAAGTGCTCCTATAACTGCTGAGCCATCTCTTCAGTCCCGACTTTCTTTTTTGTCGTTTTTTTTTTTTTGTAATAGGGTTTCTCTGTGTAGCCCTGGCTGTCCTGGAACTCACTTACTTAGTAGACCAGCTTGGCCTCGAACTCACAGAGGTCCGCCTGCCCCTGCCTCCTGAGTGCTGGGGTTAAAGCTGTGCAACACCACGCCCATCCCTGTCTTTTTTTTTAAGATTTATTTATTATGTATAAATTTACTTATTATTTGTACAGTGTTCTGTCTGTAGACCAGAAGAGGGCGCCAGATCTCATGACAGATGGTTGTGAGCCATCATGTGGTTGCTGGGAGTTGAACTCAGGACCTCTGGGAGAGCAGCCAGTGCTCTTGACCTCTGAGCCATCTCTCCAGCCCCTCTTTCTTTCTTTCTTTTTTTAAACACTAAATGATATTTCAGTCTGTGAGTGCACACACCTTTTCTTTATTCGTAGCTTTGCAGTTGTTAGTGACAGTGAACGTGGACCTGTAGGCATCTCTTTGACATAAATGTTCTCATGTCTTCTCGGGGGAAAAGAAAGAGGAGGGACCGCTGCATCTGCTGCTTTGTAATTACTGCTGCCCCTAACTACAGACAGCCTGTTTCCCCCTGTGATAAAAACAGCGGTTGGCTGATGAGCAGAGTGTCGAGGTCGTCGAGTGAGACTGGAGATACCTGGGAAACAGAGGAGGATGACATGACCGAAGGTGACCTAGGGTATGGCCTCGGAAGAAGACCTGGGGGTGTTTATGAAGTTTCGTGTTCGATTGCATCTAAGAAAAGGTCAGGTGGAAAGAACCTGAGCCCTCCTCCGTTTCCAAGAAATGGGGAAGAAAGAAGCGAAACCGTTTTTCAGTATTCCAGGAATAAGGGCTTGCAGGACGCGTGCGCTCACGGATGCAGAGCGTCCAGCTACAGACGGCTGAGCAGCACTGGTGAGATCCTCTCTCTCTCTCTCTGTCTCTCTGTCTCTGTCTCTGTCTCTCTCTCTCTCTCTCCATCCTTCCTTTGTGGCTGTGATCAGTGCTCTCACTCTCTCTCTGTCTCTCTCTCTGTCGTCTCTCTGTCTCTCTCTCTCTCTCTCTCTCTCTGTCTCTCTCTCTCTCTCTCCCCCTCCTTCCTTTGTGGCTGTGATCAGTGCTCTCACTCTCCCGGCACGTGAAAATCAGTAACCGCGGTGGATTCTCATCTTTATCTCTGTAAGATTATTTGGATTAAATTTATTCATTTGTGGGGGTTGGTGCAAGCACCCGCCAAGGTGTGCCACAACACGGAGTCAGTTCTTCCTTTCCACGTGTGGGTCCCAGGGATGGAAGGCGCATCCTCAGGCCTGGTAGCAGGTGTCTTGCTGAATCACCGCACTGGGCTCATCTTATTCTCCTGAAGGAGTTTGGAGGTGTCCATAAGTAGCTGATGTCTTACTTCTGGGACCGGCAGCGGTGATGAGCACAGTAGTCAGTGGGCTTTACTATCATAGGTTTGTGGCTCTGGTGTCTACTCACCTCGGTTCCCTTCTTTGTTACAGTTTTATACCCCGCCTCCACCCTCCCACCGCAGTTAGCAAAGAGGCATTGAGCCCGCCAGGTGCCAAGTGCAGGTCGAGGTTCTGGGAGTACTTGTTTGTTTTCTGAGTTACTCTGGTCAGTGGAAGAGACAGAGTGTGCAGGGTATGATAGTCTTTAGCAAAAGCAGCCGGGGAATCGGTCTCCATGGGTTGACCGCCTAGAACCTCTTTTTATTGATACGCAAAAGGCCTGTTAGCGAGTCGATTCCTGCCGTACCAAATTCTCATATCGGAACTAGGAGTTGGCTTAAGGAGCCGTGACCTAAGCAAACACAACCGTAATTCCAGGTTTGCCGGAAATGCCTTTTTTTTAATGATTTATTTATTTATGATGAATATAACATCCTGCCTCCATGTATGTCTTCACATACCAGAAGAGGGCACCAGATCTCATTACAGATGGTTGTGAGCCACCATATGGTTGCTGGGAATTGAACTCAGGACCTCTGGAAGAGCAGTCAGTGCTCTTAACCTCTGAGCCATCTCTCCAGCCCCGGAAATGTCTTATGACTAAGGTTAAGCTAAGGTTCTGAAATTCCCAAGAAAGACCAACCCCATAAATCTCAGTAACGATCTCTGATTATTTACAAGAGATTATTTCAAGGCCTAAGTGGCCATCACTCCAGAGTAAATGCCAGGGGCAAGGGCCCCTTTCATATTCTGCTACAAATAATAATGAACAAAATATGTAATTAAGGTTACAGAAGACGTCTAGTTGGTCATTGTCCTTGGAAATTAAAGTTTAGTTCCCAGGTATTATTACTACTTAAGCTAAACATTAAATCCATTTATTTGACTAGAATATTCCTGTTTTTCTACACATTTGTGCTAATGAATAGCCAGTTCATTAACATAAGCTTCCTATCATGACCTTTTAGAAGCTGTTTTTTTTCAAAACCACATATCTTTTAGTTTGTCGATAATTTAGGGTTCATTTTTAAATGCTTTGTTTGCTTATTAATTTTATGTAAATGAGTGTTCTGTCTGCATATTCATCTTTATGCCAAAAGAAAGCATCAAATCCCACTAGAGATGGCTGTGAGCCACCACATGGATGCTGGGAATTGAACTCAGGCCCTCTGGAAGAGCAGCCAGTGCTCTTAACTACTGAGCCTTCTCTCCAGCCCTAGGGTTCGTATTTTTATCACTAGTTACCTTATTATAATTTTTTCATTTTGCTATTTAGAAGAAATACATATTTAATATTTGTAAGTAGATGCCCTGTATTTGGGGGGGGCATTTGACACAGAGTTTCTCTATATAGCCCTGGCTGTCCTGAAACTCACTAAGTAAACCAGGCTGACCTCAAACTCACAGAGATCCACCTGCCTCTGCCTCACAAATGCTAGGATTTAAGGACTGTGCTACCATGCCCAGCTAAATGCCCAGTATTTAACTAAAGAACTGTTCCATTTTTCCTCCAATAGATTCTAACTCAGAATTGTCAAATGAGCAATTAAGGCAACGTCTTCATGAAACTTTAGAGGTATGTCCTACATGACACCAAGTGAGCACTGTACCCCATCCGTTCCTCCAGACCTCCCCCTTCTCCCCTTACTATTCATCAGGGCTCCTCTGTTTCTTATTCTCTCTCTCTCTCTCTCTGACTCTGTCTTCTTTATTTCTCTTTCTTTCCTTCTTCCTTTCTGTGTATGGGTGCCTGTGCCACAGCACACCTATGCATGTGCTGGAGTTGATTCTCTTGTTCTGTTCTGTGGTACCAGGGATTAAACTCTGTTGGCAAGCTCCTTAACTTGCTGGCCATCTTTCTGGCCCTTTTCTTGTCTCAAAAAAAAAAAAAACAACAAAAAACAAGTTCTCTCCTCTAAGCATGTCCACCACTTCTCCATCTGGCTGCTCTAACCCTATATAAACTACTGGGAAAAATTGGTATTGCTTACTTGTAGATGCCATATATCTGTAGAAGCCATATCTCTGCCTCCCAAGTGCTGGGATTAAAGGCGTGCACCACCATGCCCAGCTGAAAATATAGCTATTTGAGTCCCTTTGTAAAGCAAAACAACACTGAGATTTTTCTTTTCCTTATGATTACTGAGTGCCTACATGGGTAAAAGCTAGAGACACGCTTTTGCTTCAACTATGAAGGGGACTCCTGCACAGTGGGAGCTCCTTTCCAGACCCTGGATAAGGCACAAACCACACCCAAACACCTGTATCTATAGAGCTCCCTTACTAAGGGGAAGAAAAGTTAAAGTGGCTGCTTTCTGACTCAGGCAGAAAATAGCAGCAAATGACCTTACAGGTGTAATTCTTTCTTTGTTTGGTTTTGGTTTTTCGAGACAGGGTTTTATAGAGTGGAGTCTTCCCCGCCAGCCTGGTTCTAGAGCTGCATCAGTCCCAAATGAACACACAGGAGGCTATATTAATTATTAAGCTGTTGGCCGTTTGCTTGGTTTCTTACTGACTAGCTCTGACTTAAGTATTTACCCCATAATTGTTAATCTAAGTATTTCTCTTACCGGAGAAAGGGGTCCAGACCTCTTATTCCTATGGCGGCTACATCATGACTGCCTGTGTCTCTCTTTTCCAGAATCCTCCTCAACTCTTAGTCCCAACCATCTTGCTTCCCTATTGGCCAAGAGTGCTTTATTGACATATACACAGGAATTCCCATCAGGGTTTCTCTGTCCTGGAACTAGCTCTTGTAGACCAGGCTGGCCTGGAACTCACAGAGATCCGCCTGCCTCTGCCTCCCGAGTGCTGGGATTAAAGGCGTGTGTCATCACCACCTGGCTGGCATGTTTTATTTTTAAGAGGAGAAAAAGGGGAGGTCAGTGTTAGAATGAATTAGGATTCAGTAGTAAAGGAGATAGAGGATAAGGGAGAAGGGGAAGAGAGCAAGGGAAAGGAGGCAGGGGTATTTACCCGGCAGGGACAAAGGACGGCCTCTGGATAGAGAGGAGACAGTTGTGACCCATAGGAAAAAGTCAGTTTATAACGGTAAAGGGTGAAACCCCTGTATTAGGATGAGGTGTTTAATTTTAATTAGCATGTTAATTAGGTGAGCCAAAGGGGGCTTCTGATAGCTGGATTTCAATACTTTGGTAACTGGACCTTGGTAGTCAGCCTCAGGAGGAAGAAGTGGCCAAATAAGGGAACAGACCTTGGTGGCAGCTTTAGGGATGTCATCTAGAAGTTTTCAGGAGGGCAGAGAGGGAACAGGGAGAAGGGCAAAGCCTGCACAGCCACATGCTGGAGTGGCCGCTGTCCCTTCAGACTGGGGCTTGAGAGTGAGCCTCTGGGTTATAGCCTGACAGTTTCACTGCAACAGCAGTAGGAACTCAACCTGGTTTAAGGGTAAATGTGAACTAGCCATGTTAACAGTTCAGGGATTACATGCCTTGAAAATAGGTAGGCTTATTGTATTTCTGTCCTCAGGAAGTAGAGATTTTAAAAACTGAACTTGAAGCATCTCAAAGACAACTTGAAGGGAAAGAAGAAGCATTGAAAATTCTTCAGAGCATGGTGAGAATTAATTCCTGAAGTTTTCATCATTTAACACATTCCAGCAATAAGTGGAATTATAATCCCTGTACTCAGGAGGCAGTGGCAGGAGGACCAAGAGTTCAAGACCAAAGTGATCCATGTCCTGAGACCCTGTTTTAAACACACACACACACACATGCATGCACGCACGCACGCACGCACACACACAACCACCACCACCACCACCACCACCAACCAACATAATTAGTGATGTTACCTTGTAAAATAAAAGTAACAGTGCTAAGCCCGGTGGTGGCGCACACCTTTATCCCAGCACTCGGGATGCAGAGGCAGGCAAATCTCTGTGAGTTCAAGACCAGCCTGGTCTACAAGAGCTAGTTCTAGGACAGCCTCCAAAGCCACAGAGAAACCATGTCTCAGGGGAAAAAAAGTATCAGTGCTTAGTATTGCTGAGTTTTTTGAGATAAGATTTTCTTTTTTTCAAGACAGGGTTTCTCTGTATTGTTCTGGAGGCTGTCCTGGAACTCGCTCTATAGACCAGGCTGGCCTCGAGATCCGCCTGCCTCTGCCTCCCGACTGCTGGGATTAAAGGCATGTGCCACCAACGCCTGGCCGGGATACAGATATTTTAATAGCATAATTTCCTGATCTTTAAGTATACAGTTAATTATTACTAACCTCTGCGTTGCACAGTTATCACTAGGATCTAATTTTAGAGCATTTCCAGTATTTAAAAAATGGATCTTGTGGGGGGCTGGAGAGATGGCTCAGAGGTTAATAGCACTGGCTGCTCTTCCAGAGGTCCTCAGTTCAATTCCCAGAACCCACATGGTGGCTCATATGATGAGATCTGGTGCCCTCTTCTGACATGCAGGCAGAACACTGTACACATAATATATAAATAAATCTCTTTTTAAAAGCTTTAAAAACAAAAACCACCATGCCGGGCGGTGGTGGCGCACGCCTCTAATCCCAGCACTTGGGAGGCAGAGGCAGGCAGATCTCTGTGAGTTCGAGGCCAGCCTGGTCTACAGAGTGAGTTCCAGGACAGCCTCCAAAGCCACAGAGAAACCCTGTCTCAAAAAAACAAAACAAAACAAAACAAAACAAAAAAAACCCATAAACCACCCACACACTTTTTAACACTTTTCACCTTTTCTGTTTCAAACAAACATAACCAATAAATTTGTGCATGTAATCTTTTAATTAGCATGCTTTTGAGGTTCATGCATTTTATAGCATATATACATACATATTTACATTCATACATACATATTATATGTCTCAATACTCTCTTCTTTGTCCTCCTTTTTAGTTTATTGAGACAGAGTTTCTCTGTGTAACAGCCCTGGCTGTCCTGTAACTTGCTCTGTAGACCAGGTTGGCCTCAAATTCAGAGATCCATCTGCCTCTGCCTTCCAAGTACTGGGATTTAAGGTGTGTGCCACCACCACCTGGCAATACTTTCTTCCTTTTATTGCTAGTAGTCTATCGTATAGCCATACGTGTTTTATTTATCCATCACCCACCAGCTGGTGTATATCCTATTTATTTATTTCTGATTATGGTGAGTAACAGTACTGTGTGTATTTCCCTGTCAAGAAACTTCATTCATTCAATCACATTTGTGAGGAAGGGAGAGCCAAACAGGGATCTTCTGAATTTTAAACTCTGAGTCTTCACAAAAAATTGTTAATGTGACTGTCTCATCTTGTGTTTTCTTTTGTTTTGTTTTGTTTTTTTGTTTTTTGGAAACAGGGTTTCTCTGTATTGTTTTGGAGGCTGTCCTGAAATCGGCTCTGTAGACCAGGCTGGCCTCAAACTCACAGAGATCCACCTGCCTCTGCCTCCCGAGTGCTGGGATTAAAGGCATGCGCCACCATTGCCCGGCGCTGTCTAATCTTTTGATTATTCTTTTATCTTAAATTAGAATGGGGGGCTGGAGAGATGGCTCAGCGGTCAACAGCACATACTGCTTTTGCGTGGGGCCCAAGTTTGGTTCCCAGCACCTGTGCCAGGCAGCTCACAACTGCCTGCAAGTCCAGCTCCAGGAGATCTGACCCCCCTTCCAAGAAGCCTCCTTAGGCACCGGCACACACATGCACACATCTACACATAGACACACAGACATGGAAGTACATGTGTTGAAAATAAATAAATCTTTAAAAAAATAAAACATGCATGTAGGAATATGTGCATACATATGTATATTTATGCAGGTAGGAATGTTTAAGACTTCATTTTACTGATGCTATTTTCATTTTTTCTTAGGCAGTGCTTGACAAAGCCACAAGTCACACACAGACAGTGCTTCAGAAAACCATAGAACAGAAGAGATCTTTGGAGAAGGTATTTGCAGCTGTTGACTTTGACATGCTAATCTGATAGCATTTATGCATAATTTCCTTAGGTGTGTCATTGGGCTAACTCTCCCCCAAGGAGTTCTTCTCTGATTGTTTTCCCTTTGAAGATTGTAGAACAGATTGTCAGTAGGCGAAGTGTGGCCTCTTTCTTTTCCTTTTATGGCAGCAGAAGGTCTGTCAGCTTAGCACTTCTCATTTTTCTTCTTTGTCCTCTGCCCCAGGCAGGGTCAGCCTGTTTCTGAACACCTCACCATATGTGGAGTTAGGATCATTGTAGATGTCCATTTCTTATGTCCATTGTATTCTCCCTTAATGGGGCCATTTGGGCTAAGACTCCAAGGAGTAAATTTAGTTTCTGGGGTCTACAAGGACAGAAGGGGGACCCTGAGAAATGTGGACTCAGTACAACCAAATTTTGAGCCCAGACAGTTTGAAATGTCTCTATTTCACAAGTGCCATAGACTCTTCTGAGTGGTGTTTTTACTCTTTTAATCGCTCTGTGATTAAATGCGTTTCACTCATTCAGTGTCTTAAAATGATTGATACTAGTAATTTTCCATGAAATGCTCTTTTTTTGTTTGTTTACTTTATTTGAAGGTGCTATTTCTCTTTCTATAGGAAATAAATGTCTTGCAGTGGGAAATGGAATTTGATCAGGATAGATTTAAAAATATAGAGGAATCTTGGATCCAAAAATATGACAGGTTTGTATATTTATGCATTGAGAATTAAACATAAGGACTGAAGGGATAGCTCAGCCGTTAAAGGCTAGGCTCACAGCCAAAAATACAAGAGAGTTAAACAGGGTCTTGTGCATGCTCTACAATTACATACAACTGGGCACGTCCTCAGGACAGGTATGTATAGTATATGTAGTATAGTACATATGTATAAAAGGCATGTAATTTGCAGGGCGTTGGTGGCGCACGCCTTTAATCCCAGCACTCGGGAGGCAGAGGCAGGCGGATCACTGTGATTTCGAGGTCAGCCTGGTCTACAGAGAGAGTTCCAGGACAACCTCCAAAACAATACAGAGAAACCCTGTCTCGTAAACCAAAAAAAAAAAAAAAGCTTTAAGCTTAACAAGCTCTGGCTTCTGTTTTTTTTTTTGTTTGTTTGTTTATTTGTTTTTGTTTTTTATTTTGTTTTCGAGATAGGAATTCTCTGTATTGCTTTGGAGGCTATCCTGGAACTCGCTCTTATAGACCAGGCTGGTCTCGAACTCACAGAGATCCGCCTGCCTCTGCCTCCCGAGTGCTGGGATTAAAGGTGTGCATCACCACTGCCTGGCTTAATATTTACTTTTATTATTTTTAACTATACATATGTAGGTCTGAGTGTGCATATGTGCCCATGAGTGCAGGTACCAAAGAGGCTAGAAGAGGGAAATGGTTCTCCTGGTGCTAGATTTACACACTTTGTAACTCCAGCTGCCCAACATGGGTTCTGGGAACTGAACTGGGGGCCTTCGCAAGATCAGTGTGTACTCTTGGCCCCTGAGCCATATCTCTGGCCCCTGGGTTTCTGTTTTAACTAGACTTATTTCTCCTGTTAAGCTTCTGATGCTGGATAATTCAGGAAAAGTTGTAATAAATTCCATTTTTATTCACTAGTGTCCTGCCACTTCCTTTCTTTTTTGGTAAAGCCAGGGCCTCGTGCATTCCTGTAGGCTAGACGCATGCTCTACCCCTGTATTGCCAGCCCTTCGTCCTTTGTATTTTTTGATTATGTAAACTCTAACATAAAAATTTGCCATCTTGACAATTAAAAAATATGTAGTTTGCCGGGCATTGGTGGCGTACTCCTTTAATCCCAGCACTTGGGAGGCAGAGGCAGGCGGATCTCTGAGTTCGAGGCTAGCCTGGTCTACAGAGTGAGTTCTAGGACAGCCAAGACTACACAGAGAAGCCCTCTCTTGGAAAGCCAAAAAAAAAAAAAAATGTATAGTTCAAGCCGGGCGTTGGTGGCCCATGCCTTTAATCCTAGCACTCAGAAGGTAGAGGCGGATCTCTGTGAGTTTGAGGCCATCCTTGTCTACAGAGTGAGTTCCAGAACAGCCTCCAAAGCTACACAGAGAAACCCTGTCTCCAAAAAACAAAAAAGTGTAATTCAGTGACATTAATTAAATCCCACATAGAGTCGCATGCTTGTAACACCAATATTCAAGAGACTGAGGCAAGAGGATTGCTGAGTTTGAGGCCAGCCAGGGCCACACTGCAAGATCCTATCTCCAAAATCAAGTGGCATAGTGACAGTAAGCCAGGTGTGGTGACAAGAGCCTGTAATAACCGTGGGAAGCAAGCCGGAGGACCAGGTCAGCTTCAGTTACACAGCAAGACTCTGGGTGGAAACAGACAAGCATGGAACAGTGGCACAGGCCTGCAGTCGTAGCTCCTGACAGGAGGATCAGGGGTTCAAGGTCATCCTCAGCTGATAGAGAGTTTAAGATCAGCCCCAGCTACACAAGGCAGACAAAATCCCGAGGAGAAAAGGCCACTGTACAGCCGTCACCACCACGAACCCCGAGTCCCACCATACAGCTACTCGCCGTTGGTACTTCCCAAAGCCCCTAACTACCCACACTTAATTTCTGGTCTCTGTGAATTTGCTTCATATTTACAGCAGTGTAGAGTTTTTGTCCTTTTTAATTGTCCTGCAAGGTTCCTCCATGTAACATGTTTCAGAATTTCTTTCCAAGATTTCCAAGAAGATCATATTTGTCTACTCCTTCAGTCCTAGATGGCCACTGGGACTTGCTTCTGCCTTACGGCTATTTTGAGTAATGGCGGTAGGAACATGGGTGAACATTCCCTCACCCCATCCCCAAGTGAAGGACTTCAGTTTTGACTTTTTTTTTTTTTTTTTAGAATTAAACGACATGGCGGTAGGAACATGGGTGAGCATTCTCTCACCCCATCCCCCAGTGAAGGACTTTAAACTTGACTTTTTTATTATTTATTATTTATTTATTATTTTATTATTATTTAGACTTGACTTTTTTTTATTAAACGACATTGAGCAGGAGGTATAGTGATTTCTCATATGCCCTCCCCCATGCACAGCTTCCTGTCCTCTGCATCCTCATTAGCTTAGGCCAGTGGTTATAAGCGATGGTCCTACAGTGACTCAGTATGCACCCATATCCAAGGTCTGCATGAGGACATGAGGACCTGTCCAAGGTAGCCTAAGCACAGAGTCAGTGTCCAGATGGTTGGTTATTCAGTGGAGTTAAAATTATATTATGTAAATAAGAATGCAAATTCTGGGTCTGCTTATGTCTCGACTAAATATATAAAAGATTTAAGAGTATAAATTGAAGGTTGGTTAGGTGGCTGAGTAGATAAAAAACACTTGCTCTAAGTCTGACGACCTGAGTTTGATCCCAGGACCCACATAGCAGAAGAGAATCCAGTCCCACAGGCTGTCCTTTGACCCCGATGTGTCCACTTTTGTGCCCCCCACAAGTAAATACAATTTAATTGTAGAAATAAAAATATTTTTGCTCCTTGAGGTGTTAATATCTTAATTATTTAGTTTTTTTTCCCCAGACTTAACTGTGACAATGCAGTCCTCCGAGAGAATCTGAAGGTGAAAACAGAAGAAATTAAAATGCTCAAGTCTGAAAATGCTGGTGAGTAATGCATTTTAATGATTCTTTTAAAATATGTTAGCCCAGGGCGGTGGCACACATCTTTAATTCTAGCACTCAGGAGGCAGAGACAGGTGGATCTCTGAGTTCGAGGCCAGCCTGGTCCACAGAGTAAGTACCAGGACAGCCAAGGCTATGCAGAGAAACCTTGCCTCAAAAATAATAGTCATAACAATAAAATATATTTAAAGACAGCAAATATAGAATACACTATAGCAAGAATACTCTTGTCAATATAGACAAAGAGCTAGTACTTTGAAGTAATATCATTTAGGGAAAATAAAGAAATGTATCATTTAGATTTTTTAAAAGATTTCTTAAAGAAGATTATCAAGATGAAATCCATACAGCATAAAATTAATCTTTCAAAAATAAACAATTGGGCCAGCCATGGTGGCACTCACCCTTAATCCCAGCATTCTGGAGGCAGGGGCAGGTGGATCTCTATGAGTCTGAGACCAGCCTAGTCTATACAGTTTAACAACAGCCAAAGGCTACATAGGGAGGTTCGGTCTCAAACGAACAAACAAGCAAACAAAACGAAGCATCTGGGAGGTGTTGGTGAAGGGAGCGGGAGACCGATATGCTCAAACCACACCGTATACATGTCTGAAAGTTTTGAAAAATATAAATAAGTAGAAATGATTAATTTAGTGGTGTTGACATACTGTGTAGTTACTGTCCTCAACCATTTCTACAATTTTCCAATATATTCCAAAGTAAAGGTTGCATCCAGTTTCTCCCTAGTATCCTTTTTGATCCAATTTCCATATAAAGGGCTATGAAAGGTAACCTGTAAGCCCATCATTTGGGAGGCAGAGGCAGGAGGATTAGCATGAGTCTGACAACAGCCTGGGCTCCACAGTGAATTCTAGGCCAGTCAGGGCTAGAGTAAGAAACTCTCTCCAGAAAGCAAAATAGAACGACAGTAGAACATGATGCACATGTGTGTGCTCTCGTGTGTAAAATCTGTATGTTGCATAGTCCTTACATCACGAGGAACCACATTAGTGTAGGATGTGTGTGCTGTCATGTGTAAAATATGTATGTTGCATATCCCTTATATAATGAACCATCTTATGGTGAACATTGGTAGAATCATGGTAGCACCAATTTTTTCTTACACATTTTTTTAAGTCTTATTTTATGTATGGCTTTGGTCTAACACCCTAGGAGGCTGCAGTTGGCCTCAGAACTAACAAGCACTGTCGTTTGTGGCCCTTCTTAGCTTTGACTCAGCGGTGTTTGGAGGCCCTCGCCATGCTTGATATCAAGCAGCAGAAGATGGCTCGAGAGAGCGTGAGTCAGGAGGACAGTGGCTTTACAGAGACCTCAGGTCTCGAGGTTTGTGTGCACGCGGGAAAGCCGGATGGGAGGGACATCGTCGGCTTTCCTAGTCCCTGCAGCCGGCTCCAGGACAGCAACAATTCCATGGCTGCGAGGGGGACCGAGGCCGGGCAGACAGAGCTTAGCGAGAAGTTTTACTAGGAAGGGGAGGGAAGGGGAAAGGAAAGAGAAAAGAAGTAAAGAGACAGAGAGGACAGACGAGAAGAGGGAGACAGGAAAACTCCTGTCTGCCTCCAGGGAAACGGTGAGAAAGAGTTAAAGAGGAGAAAGCAGGAAGAGCCTAAGTGGGCGGAGATCTTTCTTTTAAAGGGGTCCTTCGCACCTGGGCTGACCAGGGACTGCCTGAGTGCATTCTGCCCGGTGACGGGCAGGCAAGCATAGTGCCTGAATCCTTGCACAGAGGACTGCCCAGGTTGCTTCTTGCCAGCTGCTGTTATCGACGGTACCAGTTGCAGCCCACACTGCTGGAGCCATGTCTCCTGCTGGGTGGTACCGGTTTCCCACATTATCCTCACTGAAGGGCTGCAAAGGGGTCGTGGAACTTAGGCTGGGTAGGTTCAGTTATTTTCCCACGGTGAAAGGGAACCTGTGGCTAACCCAGGTTCAGAACAAAGATCTGATGTGCTGTCTGAGGTTTACAATGTGAAAGTTTAGCTCGTGAGGGGCAAAGGTCCTGAGGATTTCTAAAAAGCGCGTTCCACACAGTGGAGAACACAGGAAAAAAACAAAAGAAAGCAATTGTCACCAAGAACACGCATTGTACTGCCCTTCCCAAGTGTCGAGTCTTCTAAGACCAACACATTAAACCCTCACACTCTGACTCCATCACACATGAGGTGAGGCAGGAATGAGGGGGTAATTTTCCCTGCCACACTGCTTGTTAGAGTTAGATAATTTTTTCCTTATGAAACTTAAAAACGAATGGTACAGTACTACGTAGACCACCCCTGTTAAATTAGTAAGTGTGCCTGGCTGCTAGAATGGATGAAAAACAAAAGGAGGTTGTTGCTTTTCTTTGAGTTACAGGGGTCAACCAGGAGTGACCCTATTTCTTCACTTCAGCCTTCGTCAAGTTTCTGGGGACCAAGGCTACAAGTAACTTCACTACAGTCATTACCAAGACTAGTCTAAAATACAGCACATGATTTGCAGTCATTTTTCAAAAGATTTATTTTATGTATGAGTGCTCTATCTGCATGTCTGCCTTTATGCCAGAAGAAGGCATTTAAGAGATCCCACTGTAGATGGTTGTGAGTCACCATGTGGTTGCTGGGAATTGAACTCAGGGCCTCTGGAAGAGCAGCCAGTGCTCTTAACCACTGAGTCAGCCCCACAGAGTAATTTTTTAGGAGTGGAATGATGATTGCTTTCCCAGGGGTAAAATAAAACTCACTGTTCATTCTGAGCACAGTCTTGTTGCAGGAGATGGACACAGGGAATGCCAGCTATAAGGCCATGCCTGTCGTGGGAAGCACTCTCTCTGGATGTTAGTCTTAACGACTTGGTTAGGCTAAATTCTTGCTGTACGGTCAAAGCTATTGGAGCTGAAAACCAGGGTTAAAAGTTTTTGAGAGGGGGAAGAAAGGAATCTAAATTCTTTGAAGTTTTTGTTGCAAGTAATAATGTCTCATTAGTGGTTATTTCCACTCACATCATGAATTCCTCATCTCAGATTTTCTTTAAAAATATGTAACATACACATCATACATAGCATTACATCTGTACACACACACACACACACACACAGACACACACACACACACTTCCCACTTTCTGGGATCAGAGGCTTGACTAGCGTGTGCATGGGTGTGGGGTGGTGTCTGTACGTGGCTGAGACAGCGTGACACTTGGTAACAGGTAATGCATTTGCTCTTCAAGCTTGCAGTCCTTGGAGCCTGCCGGTGTCTCGGGCCTGGAGGGAACCCCTGTGCTTGTGCCAGAATGGCAGCATCCACTCGGAAACTGGTTCTTCAGCTCAAGCAAGAGGTAGTTATCAGATGCCTTCGTTCTGTCCCTTTATTAGCAGTAGGATAAATGGCAGTATTTGCTTGGTTTTTATGTGACAGCATTAGCTTGTGCACTGGATTTCGTTTACCTGGTTCCAAAACGCACATAGTACATTGCATGAAATCTGACTGCAGGGAAAGTTGTTTGACTAGGTGAGTAGTTAATATTTCTTAAATTCGTATTTTCTCATTTATACACGGCCCTCCCATCACAGTTAACAGAGGGAAAAGGTGTGTTTACACTTAAAATCTGTGGAATTAGCACTGGGGCATGGGGAGATAACACGGAGCTTCTCTGAAGCGGAAGGAACGTTTATGCACTTGACCAACTGTTCCACTTAGTGCCGTCGTTTGCTGTCTGTGTGGCTTTGAATAAGCCTCAGTCCTCTCATAGGTTAACAGAATGACAACTGTCGAGGAAGAAGTAGACACAATGTTTATTGTCAACAGGCTAGGCACTAACCAGCTGATAGTTGCCCTTATAATTGGACTTTAATTATGAATGTCTAGTTTATAAACCAAATTTGTGATTTGACATACTTCTAAAACTGTTTTACTCTTTGTTTTGTATGGAGATAGGGTTTCTCTGTGTATCACTGACTGTCCTAGAACTCTCTTTGTAGACCAGGCTAGCCTTGAAATCAGAGATCTGCCTGTCTCTACCTCCTCAGTGCTAGGATTAAAATCATGTGCCACTATGCTTCCCTTTTTTAAAGACATGGAATTTAAAGCCCTTAGACCACACAGGAAAACTAACAGCCGAGCATTGCTACCCCTTAAGAACATCATATAATCACATAGATCAGACTCCAGTTCAGCTAGGGAAGTGCTGGAGAGGCCAAACTGAAGTGTAGCCTTGGGCGGTTTCCTTCTTTTCAGGTGTGCCCTTCCTCCAGGGCTGGGCAGGACATGGGGTCAAGCCAGGGAGAGTTTCAAGAGCTGGATTGGCAGGGAGCTGGCAGGCACAAGGCAGACTGCCGGCATCCAGGCCAGAGTGCTGCACAATGGGCAAGCGCTGATCTAAGCAAACTTAACGGAAGAGGCCAGGGATACGCGATTCATATATGAAGACTCCAGTGCCACCTCTCATGGCTCCCCAACTCTCTTTCAGTTGGAAATTCTGCAGAAAAGTAAGGAAGAGGCTCACGTCATGGCAGATGCATTCAGAATCGCTTTTGAGCAACAACTAATGAGGAAAAACGACCAGGCCCTGAGACTGGTACGCGCGGCTACGTGCAGAACAGCATCGTGGCTAAACAGGCAGCACCCGAAAGAGGACGGTACGAGGGAGACTGGGGCTGTGGTCGCTAGGGATATATCAAAGCTGATGAAGCACAGGAAAGACGGAAGCTCTTCACGTGGTTGTCGTTCATTTTAAATTTACCAAGTGTCGGGGCCAAAGAGATGTCTCAGCAGCTGGAAGTACTTGCTGCCAAGTCTGATACCTTGTGTTTCATCCCTGAACCCAAAAGTTGAGGTGTTCTGTATTTGAGGACCGGTCAAAGAAAGAGGGTCACTCCAAGGTGAATCTTAGGCTCTTTGGCAGCAGGGAGGAGCAGTTTCTATGAACTGACTCCCAAACAGCAGTGCAAAGACATATTTATTGATTGTTACACAAAAGGTATATTTTTGAGGGTAAAATAAGTCCCTCATGCCAAAACCCCTGATCTAGTCTGCATTGCTCTCTGAAGGAAAACATCACACCCCAGCAACTTTAGTCCTTATTGTATACTGTGTGCAGTACCCAATGAGCCAAGACATCCAGGTGTGCCGGGGCCGTCTTGTGACCAAAGTCACGCAAAGGCTGTAAAGCACTTTCAGAACAACTCTGTAGATAGCAGCAAACACTGTTTCCCACAATGATTGCTCCAAGGTCTGAATACTTCTAAAAAACAACTATTCATTCTGAAGTTTACCCTAGATACAGTGAAAACGATTATTTCATTCTAATGTGTACCCTAGATACAATGATTCACTAACTTTTCCTCTACAGGAGGGAGAAAACTGACTTCAGAGAGGTGCCCTCTGCCTCCACAGCAGGCCATGGCTGACACATATGCCCACACATACATCATATACAAACAATAATGATTTTGTTTTGTTGTAAATAAGTTACGGAAGCACCAAGCATGATGGCACATAACTGTATTGCTACAACGCAGGGGGCTGAGGTAGAAATTCTAAGACACTGGCAACTGCATATGCAAATGAGCTTCAAATTAATAAAACCATAATGAAACAGAATAAGCTTTTCCTAACACTTCTTGTGGTGGTGGTGGTGGTGGTGTGTGTGTGTGTGCGCATGCAGGTGCCAAGCGTAGTCAGAATTTTCTTTGGACTGCCAACCAGCTCCCAAATAAAGACAAGGAGATTTATTATTAATTAGCTTAGGCTTGTCCCGCTAACTCTTTTAACTTAATTTAACCTGTTTCTATTCATCTACGCTTTGCCTTGGAGCTTTTTACCTTTCATTCTGTGTGCCCTACTTTCCTGCTTCCTATGTGTCTGACTAGCTGGCCCCTGACATGTCCCAGGCATCTCTTTTCTTTCTTCCTCTGTCTCTGTCAAGCCTAGATTCCTCCTCCCCCTTACTCTTGCTGCCTATCCCTCCTGCCTAGCTATTGGCCATTTAGCTTTTTATTAGACCAATCAGGTGCCTTAGGCAGACAAGTTAAACAAATGCAACACATCTTTACAGAGTGAAACAAAGCAACACATCTTTGCATAGTTAAACTACTATTCCACAACATAAACAAGTGCAATACATCTTTACATAGTTAAACTAATATTCCACAGCAGCCTAGGAAGACCAGAAGAGGTTGCTGGAGTCCCTGGAGCTGCAGGTGGTTATAATGAGAACTGAATTGCGCCGTCTGCAAGACCAGTAGTTCACTGCCGAGCCATCTCTTCAATGCTCTTCCTAGTCGTATTCTACCTCACTTACATAAGACTATGCTAAGTGGGAAGAGACATAATTAATACAAGTGCTCTGATTAGTTGGGAATGGTGGTGCATGTTTGTAATCCCAGCACTCAGAAACTGAGGCAAACAACTAACTCAAAGAGACTCTCAAATACCAAGAGGAAAGTAACACTGAACATAGATAGCATTTAGCTGGGCATAGTGATGCACGCTATTTATTTATTTATTTATTTTTGGTTTTTCGAGACAGGGTTTCTCTGTTTTGCTTTGGAGCCTGTCCTGGAACTTGCTCTGTAAACCAGGCTGGCCTTGAACTCACAGAGATCCACCTGCCTCTGCCTCCCGAGTGCTTAGTTTAAAGGAGTGTGCCACCAACAAACAGCAGGCGCACACCTTTAAACCCAGCACCAAGGAGGCAGGTGGATCTCTGTGAGTGCCAGTCCAGTGTGGTCTACATGAGTTGTAGGCTCATCAGAGATACCTGATACGTATTGGATCCCCAGTAACTGATTTCTCTACTGATGCAATAAGACAAATCAAACTGGATTAATAAATTCTGATTTAATAAGCACAGCACAGCACTCTGGGTGACTTTTAGGAAGATAGGATGGAGAGCATGTGGACCATGTTTTAGGTACTCTGTAGGTGAGGTCTTGATCAGCGCCAGGGGAGGAGCTGATCCTTGGTATGCTTTCTGAGGGATGGAGTCTGCAACGAGGAGTGAAGCTAGAGCTGAGATTTCCAACAATACCTAGTGAGACCTTGTGCCAAAAACAAAAAGGAAAATGGCATTTAGCTGGGCATGAGGGCACATGTCAGAAATCCCCGCACTTAGGAGGCAGGGGCAGGAGGATCAGAAACTCAGTTCATCCTACACTTGAGTTTAAGCCCTCTGACCTCCATGTGCTCGCCATGGCACAAGTGTGTCCATCTGCCTCCCAAGGGCTGGGATTACAAGCGTGTGCACCACACCTGGCTGTTTCTACAAATTTTGTCTTTGTGATGAATCGACATAGAGAATCATTTTGTATGCTAAGACTGGGCTAAGTGTTTCCACAATTATGTTTCTTTGATGACAAACTAGCCACAAAATCTACCATTTTAACCAAGTTCAGTACAGCAGTAAGTTGTCTAACCACGACAAAGCTTCTTTCCGAATTACCTTCTCAAACAGAAACTGTGTCACTAACAACTCCCCCAGCCTGTGGTATATCATGAAAATGACAATTGTAAGTAGGAAGGTCCTCCCAATTCCAAGGACAGGATGAAGCTCAGTAAACTCCTGTAAAGCTTTAAGAGGCTGAGTGGGGATTCTGTGCAGGCCTTTCTGGTCTAAGCTGTTTTGGAGGAGGCTTCTGTGGCCCGCACTTGGCAGGCCTGTGCAGTGTCTCCAAACAGTGTGGTTAGTGGCTGGCATTAAAAATTGCGAAATATCATACACAGACCTGGATTTCTGCTGCTCCAGAAGACTGTGATGACTGAGCACTGTGAGTTTCCAACAGCATGGACTTCCCCTCCAAGTCCCCACATCCCCCCATCACGCTGTGCAACCTGCAACATTGATTGGTGCTTGTGGCTTTGTGATAATGACCTCTAGATGGTTTGAGTTCTTTAGCCTTGGTTCACAGACACTTATTTTACTGCAATTAGCATCAATGAGCAAATTTTACTCAGCTGGATTTTCCCACTGACTTTTAGGATATTCATCACAAAGGAGAAAGAAGACCTTAGGGCAGAGGCTTCTGGGGATACTCCCTTCAGAAAACAGTTCCAAGAGGACTGAAGACCAAGACAATCAGCACGAAGTCTTCAAGATGCTAATAGACTTGGTTAGTACTGGACCTCCACTAGCTTTTTGCTAGGGGCTGTGGTTCCGCTCATCCATGGGCTCCTTACTCTAGGCCTTGCTTGCTTCTCTTTACTACTCCCCATCATCTGCCAAGTCTCCCCAACTCCCCTCGGGTCACCTCTGTGCAGGTTTTAAAGTCCCACATCTGAAGGGAGGGGTCAGCTACTCATTCCAGTCAGCTCAGCTGCCTGCATTTACATGCAGCTTAGGGCATTTAAGTGTTCCAGGCACTGTCATACCCTTAAATCACCAACACAACCTGCAATCATTCCTGGTACCCTTGTACAGATGGCTACTAAACAAAGGCACCGACACAAGCACTTAGAGCCAACACACTTTTAATTCTGCTGACACATTTATTGCATATAAATACATAGAAACAATTTTAGACACAGCTTTAAATGTTCTTTCAGAAGTCAGTACATATTTCGATTACATACATATATACACTAGGTGACTTACAGCATTAAAGAGAAGTAACATTAACTCTCGCTGGGTTTTTTAAAGGAAGTTTTATTGTTGTTGTATGATGTATGTGTGAGCAAGACATGCCATGGTACACGTGTTGGTCAGAGGACAACTCTGTGGATGAGCTCTTTCCTTCCATCTTTCTGTGAGTTCCAAGCCTGCATGCCGAGTACCCGAATTCATGAGCCACCTCTCTGCTGCCCTCCACCCTCACCCCACCCTGTAAAGAAGAAGAATCTTAGGGCTGGAGAGATGACTCAGTTTGGCTCCTTAGGTAAGAGCATTTACATCACTTCCCAGCACTGATTCTGAGTGGCTCAAAACCTCCTGTAAATCCAGTTTTGGAAGATCTGACACCCTCTTCTGGCTTCTCAGGTACCTACACACACATGGCACATATACATACTTACACATAAAATTTTAAAATAAAAAATACAGCACAGTTCAGCCATCGAGATGGATCAGTAGGTAAAGGAGCCTTGAATTTGATTCCAGGACCCACATGGGAGAAGGAAGGATCTGACTCCTGAAAGTTGCCCTCTAACACCTGTACGTACTCCATGGCACACATACAAACATGCACACCAAATAAAATTTAAAAGTTCACTTAAATCCCCCAGCATTTGATTCAGGATTATTTAAAATATGGTGAATTTACTATTTGGGATGCAGTATTTTGATAAGATGCAATACATCCTGACGTTCCTAACCCTGTTCACAGTTGAATGACAAAGAAGAAGCATTGGCTCATCAAAGAAAAGTCAGCTACATGCTTGCTCGGGCGCTGGAAGACAAAGACACTGCAGCAAAGAATAAAGACACAATTCCCACGAACCAGAATTTCCCACTCACAGCCTCCTGGCAGGAAGCTTCAGAAGGCTGTGTTCTGCATGATCCAGCACACTCAAAGGTCCATGTTGCTGATGCTGTGGGCTGCATTTGTTCAGTCCAGCATCCCCAGAGAGACTCAGGCTGCTCAAGAACTCTTAAAAGATCCTGTTCTTTGCCATCAGATATATTTTAAAAACAAACCAGATGAAATTAGAGTTGCTAAATATCAGATTTTTGGAGTTGGAAATGTATCTCAGAGGTAGGAAGACACTTGGTCAGTGTGCATAAGGCCTTGGTTTTAGTACATGGTGGTGCTCACCTTTAATACCAGACTTAGGAATCAGAGACAGGCAGCAGATCTCTGGCTTTGAGGCCAGCCTGGTCTACAGAGCCAGTTCCAGGACAAGGGCTACGTAAGTGAACCCTTTCTTGAAAAATCAAAACAAAACAAAAAAGGCCTTGGGTTTGATGTTCCGCATTGCAAGGACACTGGGCATGGAGGATCATACTTCCAAATCCTAGCATTTGGGAGACTTAGGCAAAAAGACTACTGTTAATTTGACTAGATTACAGTAAAACTTGCCAATATTTATAAATATTAAGAAGTGGTATGCAAAGCCGGGCATTGGTGGCGCACGCCTTTAACTCCAGAACTCAGGAGGCAGAGGCAGGCGGATCTCTGTGAGTTCGAGGCCAGCCTGATCTACAGAGCAAGTTCCAGGACAGCCTCCAAAACAATAAAGAGAAACCCTGTCTCGAAAAACCAAAAAAAAAAAAAAAAAAAAAAAAAGAAGTATGCTTTCTAGATAGTTTTTTTTTCCAAGACAAGAGTTTCTCTGTATTGTTTTGGAGCTGGGCGTTGGTGGTGCAAGCCTTTAATCCCAGCACTTGGAAGGCAGAGATACGTGGATCTCTGAGTTTGAGGCCAGCCTGGTCTACAGAGCTAGTTCCAGGACAGGCTTTCTAGATGTTTTTAAATGTGTTACCATAGTAATTTACAAAGTAGTAAGTTCATTATGGTATCTGAATACATGTATTAACAATATATGTGTTTTGACCACATCCTCCTTTTTAATTTTAGGATGCAGCTTAAGTAATCAAACCTTTAACACATGTTCTATAAGAAATGTATTCTGTAGACATTTATAAAATACTTTTCCATATTTTACGACAGTTTCAATGTTTATCATATAAACAAATATTCTTGGGAAAAATTAAAAGTTCTTTATGGAGCTGGGGAGATGGTTCAGCTGGTAAAGCATCTGCCATGCAAGCATGAGGCTGCATTTGATCCTCAGGCCACGTGAATAGTCAGCCACATACAGTGAAGCATATCTGTAACCTGACTGCTGGAGATGCAGAGGCTTGCAGGCTGGCCAGCCTAATAGAAGAGCCTCAGACCCCAGAGAGACCCTGTCTCAAAAAAAAATAAATAAATAAAATAAGGCAGACAACACCCAAGGCTGACTTCTGGTGAGCACATGCATGCACACACATGTGTATACACATGCACAACTACTTATGAAGTAATTTTTTTGTTGGGTGTGGTGGTACATCCCTGTATACCCAATACTCAAGAGGCTTCAGGGTTGCAAGTTCTTTTGAACAGCAGAAACATTTTGTAGCCAAACCTAATAGATGCTTACTTAGTAGCTCTCTCATTCTGTCCTGGAAGTGTTTGTGATGGCCCCAGAAGGTCTCAGCTGAAGTTGTCTGATCTTCATAAGTGTTTGGGTTTATGTTTTTGCCTACTTTTTTTTTTTTTACAGACAGGGTTTCTCGGTGTAGGCCTAGCTGTCCTGGAACTCACTTTGTAGACCATGCTGGCATGGAACTCTCAGAGATTCACCTACCTCTGCCTCCTGAGTGCCTGGATTAATGCCATGTATCACCATACCTAGCTGCCTGCCATGTGATTTTAATAAAAATACCTGGATATCAGATTTAAGGTTATTGAAAGCACTGGAAAACGGTATGAACACGTCAACTTTCTGGTTATTAAAAGCTATGTACTGTATAGACTCACAAGCCAGTCAACAGGCCACATATACAACAGTGGTCCCATCAGATGACACAGCCTACTGATGTTGGAACCGTATATATACTGCTTATATAATGACAAAATGCCCTAATTACATTTCTCAGAATATGTCCCTGCCAAGAGACATGTAAAAGGCCGGGCGGTGGTGGCGCAAGCCTTTAATCCCAGCACTCGGGAGGCGGAGGCAGGCGGATCTCTGTGAGTTCGAGGCCGGGCTGGACCGACAGCCTCCAAAACAATACAGAGAAATCCTGTCTCGTAAAAACAAAACAAAAAACAAACAAACAAACAAAAAAACAAGAGACACATAATAGATTTCATTATGAAACACTGAATTTTAAAGAGAATACTTTAGAGCCGGGCATTGGTGGCGCACGCCTTTAATCCCAGCACTCGGGAGACAGAGGCAGGCGGATCTCTGTGAGTTCGAGGCCAGCCTGGTCTACAAAGCAAGTTCCAGGACAGCTTCCAAGACAATACAGAGAAACCCTGTCTCGAAAAACCAAAAAAAAAAAAAAAAAAAAAAGAATACTTTACTCCCCCAACGATAGCTTATCTCATGATACAGTTTAAGATTGACTATGAAGTTTCACTGTTCCATTTAGATTATGGATATAGTAAACTTATCTGAAGTCACTGGTAACTTAGACAGTTAAAGGAAAAGTAAAGAATAATCCCATAGCTTTGAACCAGCATCATACTATCATGTATAAGGAATTGAGGAAGGAAAAAAGTAGAGTGACTCAATGCCTACTGACCCCAGCCTTGGGAGACTGAGGCAGGACTACCAAGAATATTCTGGGCTACATTGTGTGTCTTTGTCCCAAAACAAAAACTCAAAACAAAAACCTTCATTCAGTAGGACTTGGTAATAGTCTTGCATAGTAACTATTCCATTTACTTCACAGCAAAGAGTGACTACTTCATACTCATTCTATTAAGATTAAATAGAGTCCCACAAAGGCCAGGCTCCAGTTTGTACAAGTGAAAACATGGGACAAGGTTACACCTTCCTGCCCATAGGGGACCAGACGTGAGGCACATCCACGAAATCTGGGAGCTGTGGCAAACAGTGAAACACACCTGCACAACCGCAAGGAGGAGTTGCGAAGTGAGAGATGTCACGTTTATTCGGGGACATACTCATGGATTAATACATCAAGCACACGTGTACAACATACAGAAAAGTCAGTACCCACACAATTTCTCTAGTACAAAGTGTACCAGGGTGAAGGCATGAAACCAAACAGGGATACTGTATAAACTCTACATTTCTCTACTGAACAATTCTACAAACCAAAGAAAAATAATTACAAACAAAAAGGCATATGGGATTTACAGGTTTGTTGTCTCTGTGTTTTACAAAGGTTAAAAATCTGCAAAGCTGTTATCTGATCCAGCAAGGATCTTACCTGCACAGGCAGGAAGTGCTTACAGATGTGTTAAGGCTAGTACAAGAATCTCCAGCGGTTATCAAGGCTCTAAGCAATACAAAAGCCCATTAGTGGCCTGGCGTGGTAGCGCATGCCTGTAATCCCACTTGGGAGGCAGAGTTTGAGGCCACCTTGGGCTATATATTGTAGAGACCCTGTTTCAAACCAAAAGGCATTAAAACCTAAGTCTGCAGTGAGATGACAACCTGAGTTTGGTCCTTCTGACCTGCATAGTAAAAGAGAACCAACGCCTACAAGCTGTTCTCTGACCACTACACACATTCTGTAGTATGTATGCACGCATATGAATATGCATGTGTGCACATACACACAGACAAGTTTAACAAAACATTAAAAATAGTGGTTTGGTATGACTATACAAAGGCCCACGTATTTGTATAGTACAGTCCCCTAAAGGAAGAAGTTGGGAATGGTGGCATGCACCTGTAATCCCAGCTCATAGAAAACAGGAGGCAGGAGGATTTGGAGTTCTAGGGCAGCCACACCTGAAAACATACAACACAAAATTTTAAGTGTCACTGGTTCCTTTGGCACTATCCTCTCACATTTTAGCTGTGTGCTAAACTGTCACCAACCACCCAGTCTTCACTAAGGGAAGGTTTACATTTTTGCTGCAGCTATAAACCGGTTCAGTGGTTTTGAAGCTAGCCTATTCCAAGCTTAGTTTCTGCTATTTTTAGTCTTTGATAAAATACACATCATGGGTTGGGCAGCTTGGTGTCTGAATGACTATAAAAGGAACAGATGATGTATTCAATATGTACTATGTACGCACGAGATAGCCACATGTTGTGAAATGTAACCATAGAAGAGACATGTCAAAGGGATTTTTTAAAAATCACTTTTTTCTTGCAGACTGTTCGAAGGCATAATTCTCTGTCTTGTGTGGTTGCAACAAATTAGTAACTACGTGGAAACACAACAATGTCAACTTAACAGAAAATGACCTCACAAAAAGTATGCACATTAGATAAATTGCATATGTAGTCCTGGTACTGGTGTGAAGAGATTTAAAAATGAAATTAACGCCCTATGTGAATTTATCTTTATACTGCTATCCAGTCAGAAACCCATTTTTTTTTTAAAGATTTATTTGGGTCAGGTGTGGCATACACCTTTAATCCCAGAACTCTGAAGTCATTAGTAGGCAGGTCCCTCCTACCAAGTTCAGGACCAGCTAGGATTACAAAGTGAAACCTTGTCTCAAAAAAACAAATAACAAAGGTTTATTTTTATGTGCGTGTGTATATGCTTATGTGAGTGCAGCTCCCTGAGGAGGGCAGCAGAGTCCCTGGAGCTGGAGTTACAAGTAGTTGAAAGCTGCCCTGTCAGTACTGGGAACATAATTGCAGTCCCCTTGAAGTTCACCTATTCTGAGCCTGGCTTCCAGCCCTTTTTTTTTTTTTTTTTTTTTTGGTTTTTACGAGACAGGGTTTCTCTGTATTGTTTGAGGCTGTCGGTCCAGCCCGGCCTTGAACTCACAGAGGTCCTCCTGCCTCTGCCTCTAGGACCAGCCCCTTCTTTTATTTATTTATTTATTTATTTATTTATTTATTTATTTATTTATTTATTTGGTTTTACGAGACAGGATTTCTCTGTATTGTTTTGGAGGCTGTCGGTCCACCCCGGCCTCGAACTAACAGAAATTCGCCCCCCTCGGCCTCCCGAGTGCTGGGATTAAAGGCGTGTGCCACCTCCGCCCAGCCCAGCCCCTTCTTTTATTTTTATTTTTTTAGACAGAGTTTCTCTCTTAGTAGCTGCTGTACAGGACTATCCTCTATACCAAACTGCCAGCATCTTCAGAAGTCTAGCTGGGCTTGACTGGGCACCTTCCCTCTTGGGGGTGGGTGGGTCATGTGACCTTCAAGTGCATAGCCAGCCATCAGGCCCTATCAGTTATACGAAAGTTTGCTCTTACTGCATGTAACACATGTCTTGGGGCCTAAGGGAGGGACTATTTAGCTGGGTGGTACCAAGGGAGGGTCTCTATCTATGAACAGTCACAGGGAGTCACATCCTTCTGCTGTGGCTCCTTCAACTTTACCCATGCTCCCTCCTGCTTATAACCCCTCACCCACTGCTTTGTAAGTGAGGCTAACAAACCCACTGGCTCCCCAGAGGGAACTTTGTGGAACCTCACTCTGGGTTGTCCTTTGGGCTATAGGATGGGGTGGGCATTTGTTTCTATCTCCCCAACAGAAGAATTTTAGCAACCGTGGCCCTTGAGAAAATCAGAGTTGAGGCACACAGTTACAGTACTTACTGCTAATTTGTAATAGTAAGCCTCACAAAAGCAATGTGAGGTACCTTAAGAAACCAAGAGTTTAGAGCGATGGAACAAGCCTGTCACCCAAACTATTCTGGGGGACGTAGGGGAGAAAGGAAAAAGTATGCTGAGAAAGCATCAATCAGAAGCTGGGGCAATAGACACTATTAAAACTAAGAACTGGGGCCAGGGACGTAGCTCCGTGGTAGTTTACTCATTATATGTATGGCCCTGCTTGCATCCCAGCACCACAAAAAAATTAAATCAATTGCACACTTTTAATTCCAACCCTTGAGAGGCAGAGGGAGGTAGATCTCTGAGTCGGAGGCCAGTCTGATCTACATAGAAAGTTCCAGGACAGCCCTGTTTGAATATGAAATGAAATGGCCCCCATAGGCTCATGTTTGAACACTTGGTCCCCAGGTGCTGGAGCTGTCCGATAAGCTTTCTGTGGGTCACTGGGGCCGACTTGAGGCTTTCTAGCCCCGCCCCACTCCTGTCCACTCTCTGCTTCCTGAGTGCATATACAATGACCAGCCAGCCTCCTGTTTCTGCTTCCTTGTCTGCGGCCATCTTCTCCATCAGGATGGGCTGAATTTCACAGGAACCATACAGCAAAAATGAAACCTTTCCCCTTAACTTGCTTTTGTCAGGTCAGGTTGTTTATCACAGCAGCAGAAAAGCAACTAAGACAGCTTTGATGAACTTAAAAATATACCACTCTGAAGCTGGGTGATGGTGGTGGTGGTGCACGCCTTTAATCCCAGCACTTGGGAGGCAGAGGCAGGCAGATCTCTGAGTTCGAGGCCAGCCTGGTCTGGAGTTTCAGGACAGCCTCCAAACCAATACAAAGAAACTCTGTCTCAAAACAAAAAACAAAACAAACCATTCTGACAAAGATGAGTTTGTAGAACTAGCCTTGTTAATCCTCATTTTCCTGTCCAATTCCCTTTCAAGCTAACTACTCTGGACCAAGTAATTCTGCCTTTAGCACTTTTCATTACTTACTATTCTTTTCCAACACAGTATATAAGTAGCTGACTTTGTTATTTTTGAGACAGAATCTCATGATCTATGGCTGACTGAGAATTCACTACGTAGATCAGGAGGATACCAGTCTCTGCCTACCTCACCCAGCTACATAGTTGACTCCTAACTTGTTCTCTATATCTTTGTTGGCTACCATGCCAAAACTTATTATTTTGTTTTTTGGTTTTTTTTTTGCCTTTGAGATAGTAGTCTTGCTTTGAGGGCAGACTGGCATAAAACTTTTTGTAGCTGGGCTGGTCTTAAATTTGGGGCAGTCAAGCCTCAGCCTGACAAGTGTGAGATTATAAGCACCAGAAGCCAAACCTGGTCCCTATGTAAACTTACTGTAAATTTGTACAGCTTTTCCTCTTTGAATTTTATATCATTTTTGAACTCCCATGGAATAAGAGTGAGGTTTTGCTCTCCCAAACCTTTCATATAGGAAGTTCATGTGGGGCTGGAGAGATGACTCAGTAATTAGGCACTGGCTGCTCTTTCAGAGGACCTAGGTTTGATTTCCAGCATCCTAACGGTGGCTCACAACTACACACAATTCCAGTTCCAGGGTGTCTGATGCCATTTTCTGCCCTCCATGGGCACCAGAAATGCACATGTTACAGAGACATATATGTAGACAAAACACCCAAGCACATAATAACTTAAAAGACCTCTCCTAAGAACTAATGCCCAATAGATTTGTGCCATTTATTTTATAGTGCCAAGAACTGAAATCAGGGGCTCATATATGCTGGGAAAACTCTACCACTAAGTTACACACAAACTTGTATTTGTTCTTGAAAAAGGCTCTCACTATGTAGCTCTGGAACTCATTTTGTAGACCAGTCTGGCCTTAAACTCATAGAGATCCACCAGCCTTTGCCTCCCAAGTCTTGAGACTAAAGGGATAAGCTACAATGCCTCACAATTCATGGTATTTTTATGATAAATTTTATACAATAGAAAATAATCCATAAATAAAGTACCAGTAAATAGCATTATTTACAATATACTATTATATGGTAACTAAATCAACTAGATTCATATTCATTAATATGGGAAGAAAGTTTTTAAGTAAAAAACAAAAAAAACCAACAGCATGAGATATAGTAGTTTTTTGTTTTTTTGGGTTTTTTTTGAGACAGGTTCTCACTATATACCCATTGCTGGCCTGGAACTTAGTATGCACACCAGGCTAGCTTTTAACGCTAGCGTTAGATATCCACTTGCCTTTACTTCGTGCTAAGATCAAAGTTATGTGCTACAATAAGGTGAGTTTAAAGTCCTCTGAAGGTAACAGTACAAAACCATGGAGTGAAAAACACAAATTTTCCTAAAACCCTTTCCTTTGGAGTGGGTAAAAAGGAATGGAATGAAAAGTATTCAGGGGGTTGGTTATGGTGGTGCACGCCAGAATAATCAAAGCAATTCAGGAGCTGAAGCAGAAGATCAGTGAGCTCCAGGCGGGGGAGTATTAAGGGGAGGTGTCAGTTTTATCTTCTTAAATTTACTTAATCTGAGTAAGTGGTGTTCAGTACTAGCAAAAATGCTAACAGTATTTCTGTTTTAAGTACTATTCCTAATGAACTTGAGGTGATGTCTCATCCAGAGCTGCAAAGTAACCAGCAATTACATATTAAGGCTCTCCTCATGTACTGTGAGTTACACTTCAGAGAACGGAACCTATTTTTGTACTCTAGTCATAAATCACAAATATTTTATTTTAAAATACATTTAATAAAAATAACCCATACTTTTACATATTTTACATGTGTTGAATATTTACAAGTTCTCTTCTCCAGCATTTAATGCTCCCTATTTTTTTCCATTATTTGCCTTTTGGATTATTTCTTTCAGCGTGAAGCACTGTCCATTGTTGGCTGTAACTAAAAAATTAGCTTCTTGGGCAATATTCCTGAAATCAAAACAAAAAGATTGTTCACTCACTGCATTTCAACACCATTACTGACTTACAGGCACTTGTTAAACATTAACACAGTACTCTTAGAACAGCTGGAGAACTGACTCAACTGTGGAGAGCACTCACTGCTCTCCCAGAGGAACTGGGCTCAATTGCCAACAGCCACAGAGCAGCTTAAAGCTGTCTAACTCCAGCCCTCTTCTGGCCTCCACACACGGCACACATTCACAGAAAAATAAATGAGCTGGGGGTGAGGTAAAGAAAGAACTCTGAGATCAACTCAAAAGTGCCTGAAGTGTCCTCTATAGCAGACAGCTTAAACAATGCCATAGCTCCATTTTCTTAACTGGCTTCCAGTCACTAGCTATACATGAGCTATTTAGAGCTTTCTGGTGTCACGTTTTTTACCAATGGGGTCTTTACCTTGTTCTAAGGCTTCTGCTCTTTTTCTTTTTGTTGCCACGGCTGGATTTGACTGTTCTTTTAGGGCTTCTGCTGGACAGTTTGGTCTTGGAAGTTGGCACCCAGGTGTTGGCCCTGGACGATTACTGAAGTACTTAGTCTTCAATGCCTTTTCAAAGAAAAGAAACCAAGAATGAGGTCTTATTCTTTTGGTTTTATTTTAGACAAGGCCTAACTGTAGCCCTAGCTGGTGTGTAACCTGGCATGTAGACAAGGCTGGCCTCTCACTCGCAGCCCTCCTCTCCTGCTTGTTCTGAGTGCTGGGAGGACAGTCATGCACCACACCATGCCCAGCTCAAAAGCAATGCTTCAGTGTTTGTACTGTATGTAGAAAATCTACCCCGAATTGTTGACAACACTGAAAATATATGTAAATACCCCATGTCTCCAAACAAAGAATCAACATCAAGTATATGGTTAAAATTACTACAAATAAGCCGGGCAGTGGTGGCGCACGCCTTTAATCCCAGCACTCGGGAGGCAGAGGCAGGTGGATCTCTGTGAGTTCGAGGCCAGGCTGGACCGACAGCCTCCAAAACAATACAGAGAAACCCTGTCTAGTAAAACCAAAAAAAAAGAATTACTACAAATAAATATCCAGCATCCTACAATTGGTTGATGCTGTTACTGGAGGAGGGGGGCTCACTCCCTTCTAATTTTTTACAGTGGCATAGACTGTACTGGAACCAATGAATTGCAAATACTATAATCCACTGCAAATGGGTGAAAGCTTCCTTGAGTTTATTCAAGGTTTCTATTAACCACTAGAGTATAATATTCCAGAATATACAAAATTTACAAAAGTGGTTTCTTCTCAAATGACAAGTCTGTCAACATACCTATTTACAATATACTAATGCCACCCAACAGCCACAGTCGTTTCCCCTCCCTCTGCACCCACCCATCTTCATGTTTCCTCCCCCACCCCAAAAACAAGGCGGGCAGTGGTGGCACACACCTTTAATCCCAGTAGAGGCAGAGGCAGGCAGGTCTCTGTGAGTTAGAGGCCAGCCTTGTCTACAGAGCTAGTTTTAGGACAGCCAGGGATAAACAGAGAACCCTGTCTCAAAAGAAACAAAAACAAACAAAAAGCTTGTTTTGAAATATAGCACACACACACACACACACACACACACACACACACACACACACACAACCCCTAAGCAAGTACGAATTTCTTACATATAAAATTTAATACCAGTCTAGACAATGTTTGTAGCTTTGGGGAGAGGACACAAATATATATCCTTCAGATATACATCTTCCTAGTACTTAAAGGATAATAGAAAATTTTAGACATTTGACTTTTGTTTTATTAATGCTGCCAAGAAGATGATCCTTAGGAATCCTAAGATAAGTACCTGTGAAGCTGTAATTCTAGTACACGGGTTATACAAGAACAAGCCCTGGATGAGTTCGAGCAAGTCGTCTCCTGCTGCAATGAAGATGTGTTGCAGTGGGATCCCAGGGAAACTCTTAAACGTCACATAATCCGGAAGACTACACATGTCCTGGGGAAAAATTACAATTCAAATTTAAGTAAAGGATTCAGAGAGACAGAAGAAACAAAATGTGACTTGTCAGTCTGTAGAAAATCCTAAGAAAACTAAAAGGAAAAACAAAAGAATTTGTAATCTGTAAAGTCTGTAAGATATAACATATATTTATTTAAAAATCATAGTTCTACATAGTATCAACAAATATGTGAATACCAGAACAGAAAACACAATACTAAGGGTATGTGCCAGGTGTGGTGGCACATACCCTTAGTCCCAGTACATGGGAAGCAAAACAGGTGGATCTCTGGGAGTTCCAGGCCAGCCTGGTCTACAGAGCTAATTCCAGGACAGGGAGGGCTATAAAGAGAAATCCTGTCTGGAAAAAAACAAAACAAAACAAAACAAGCAGGAGTCTTCAGTACCAAGGCCACTGAGCACTCAGTCCGGAAAGCACTTGAGATATCCTGTGTTCTTTTGTGCAACACTGACTGAGTTACCTGCTGACTTTGTCCCATTGTCTGATGGCTTCCTGCTGACTGTCAACCCCCTCACCCCCCACCCCTGCCAAAAAAAAAAAAAACACTGTATACAGATGCTGAACTTCTTTTCTTTTTCAGAACAGGGTCTCTCAGTGTAGGTTTGGATCCTGTCCTAGAGCTCACTCTATAAACCAGGCTCACAGAAATCTGCCTGCCTCTGCCCCCACCTCCTGCTCCTCCAGTGCTGAAATTAAAGGTGAGTGCCAACCACCTCAATTGGGTTTAGGAAAGACTATATATATATACCTGTAAGATGGTGGGTATAGGTTACAATTTTAATGTTTTCCTATCCTTTCTTTGTCATCTGCAGTTTGTTTGGTTTTTGTTTTTGTTTTTCGAAACAGGGTTTCTCTGTAGTTTGGAACTTGCTCTGTAGACTGGCTGGCCTTGAACTCAGAGATCTCTGCCTGCTTCTGCCTACCGAGTGCTGGGATTAAACATGTGCACCACCAACACCCAGCCAACTGTAGTTTTATAATGAGGGTAATTTATTTTTATTTATTTACTTTTTTGACACAGGATCTCAGTATAGAGCTCAGGCTGGCTGGAATTCACTACATTAACCAGGATGGCCTTGAATTCCCAAACCTCTTCCTGCCTCCTGATTATAAACAAGTGCCACCGTGCCCACCTATGAGGATGCTTTTTTTAAATTAGTTCAGTGACAGAGCACTTACCCAGTACGGGAAAGGCCTTGGTCCTTTAGCACTAATTAATTACTCCATTTCTTCCTTCACTAGCCACACAGCTGTGCTCAGATACAGCAAACAAACATTACAGATCATAATTACATTTCAAACAGAATGCATAAAGGCTTACAGGCCACTGCTCTTCAGTTGGTGTACCCAATGTTTCAAATATTCTTGTTAGTTGATCAAGGTCTGAATCTCCAGGCAAAAAAGGAACCTGAAAGGAGACATTTTAAGGCTTTATTGATTCTTTGGGAATTTCATACCATGCATTATACACACACTTTTTGAAGAGCTTTCCTCAGCACCCCACAGCAGAATTCCAACATATTCCAAACCGCAGACTTTAAAAACTTCATTTTACTATTTCCTATGTATAGGGTATACATGCATGTATATCTATGTACCATGTTCATGCCTGGTACCCTCGGAAGCTAGAACAGGGCATCAAATTCCTTCGAAGTAGAGATATAGGTGATTGTGAGCTACCATGTACCAGGTACTGGGTCCTATGTCCTCTTAAGGGCCGAGTCATCAGCTGAGCACCCCAAAGGCGGATTTACCAGAAGACACCCAAAGCAACTTTGCTGCCTTCCAGCTCTCAGCTGTGCCTTTGAACAGTGTCTAGATGCCATCCCTGGAATTCTTCCCTGGAAGTTCTCAGTGGTAGGGAATAGTGATTTTTGCTTGTATCTGATAATCTTAGGATTAGATCACTTATTAGGCAACCCTTCCTTGCCCCATCCCACTACAGCTGTGAGTGAGGAAAAAGGGTGGGGGATTGGGAAGTCACTCTGTAACACAGAGTAACTTCAAACTCAAGGTGATTCTCTGCCTCAGCCTTCGAGTGCTGGGATTATAGGTGTAAGCCACCACAGCTTGTTCCTGAAACAAACTAATGTGTACTTTGTTTTCTAACTGGGCCCAGATTTAGTACAAGCTCTAGTAGGAAGAATTCAGAAATGTCTCATGCATGTACAGAACACATTTTGTCAACTGAGTTACTTTCCTAGCCTCTGTAATGGTCAATCTTGTCTGCCTAGTGGAATGGAGACTCAACAAGAAAACAGGCCTCTGAGTATAACTGTAAGGGAGTTTTTTGTAGGGCCAAAAGGAAAAAAGAACACCCTGACCCTGACTTGACTCCAGGACCAGGGCTTGAAACCCTACCAATTCCTGAGCTTGCCCCAGAATCAGGCCACAAAAATTCACCAATCCCAAGCCACCATGGAAAGCCCCCCCACTCCCCACCCCAAAGAAACCCCATATAAACTCTGTATCCTGTTCAGTTTGCTGCTACTTCTTACCCTGGAGGCAGTCACTCTTCTGGATTCTGCCTTCCCAATAAATCTCTTGAGTGAGGATTGTTGTGTGGTGGGATACTTACACCAAGAGGAGACCAACCATAACAACTTTCATCACAGCAGAGTTGGGAAGGGAGCTGAGCAGAGCTGTAACACTTCTCTAGAGCATAGTGGTGCAGAGCTGCTCTAACAACTTCCTGGGAAACCTTTCCCTGAATCAGGGCTGTGGGCTGCTATGCTTACGATGACTGTGGTATTCGTTGGCTCCTGACTACCAGGATAACTTTCCATCTGAGCTGCAAGGCTTACATTTCTAAACTGTGTTAACTAAAGAGGGAGGACCCACCCTAATGTGGGTGGTACAAGGACTGATCCTGGACAATAAAAGGAGCAGAGCACTAGCATCCATCTCTCCCTTCCTGACTACAGATGGGATGTGACAAAGAGCCTCTCAAGCTTCCACTGTCATGGCTTCTCCTGCCACTGTAACTGACTATACCCTCAGGCTGCCAGCCAAAACAAAGCCACCTTAATGTGATTTGTCAGGTATTTTGTCACAGCAATGTGAAAATAACAATTGGCTGCAAACTTACTTAATTCTTCTGCTTCTTCTCACCATGCTTTGTTTTGTGAGACAGAATTTTACTATGTAACCCAGTCTAGTCTTGGACTCACCTTGGTCCTCCTGCCTCAGCCTCCCACATGCTAGGATTATAATATGTGCCATCATACCTGTTGAAACTTTATTCAACAAACTGACTTTGCTTATCAATTTCTTGCTGTAGGATTATAATTAAAAAGATAATTCCTAAAAATTATGAGAACTTTTAACAACCATACTTAATGATATATATGAATTTAGGACTTACCCGTAGAAGCAATTCTGCTAATATACAGCCAACAGCCCACATGTCCACACCTACACCATACATCCTAGCTCCAAACAATAACTCAGGGGCCCGGTACCATCTGGGGAAAAGAATGAAATAATGTCATATGAGAACCCATTTTTAAGGCTAATTTTTTCTTCTCATTAAGTAGCTTTGGCTGTCCTGGAACTATGTAAACCAGGTGGGCCTTGGAATCACAAAGATCCATCTGTCTCTGCTCCTCAAGTACTAGGATTGAAAGGATGTGTTACCATGCCCAGCTAGATTGTTAAAAGATGAACAATCTCTGCATGTTTTTAGAACCAACCACTCACCGTGAGTCCTGAAGCAACCTGTCTTGCCAGTTCTCAAGAATACTATTTCTGAAACTCTCTACTTTTCCATAATAAATTCTTTGCTTTCTACTAGACTTTTCCCATTAACATGCTTACATATTGCATATCGCTTCTCTAAAATCCACCTGATCCAACTCCTCTTCTCCCTAAATTTCTTTTCTTTTTTTGGAATAAGGATCTTAAGCAGTTCAGGCTAGTCTCCACATCACTAAAGTTATACTCATATTTAAGTATGAATATTCTATCTGCATGTCATCTTTATGCAAGAAGGTATCAGATCCCACTACAGATGGCTGTGAGCCACCATGTGGTTGCTGTGAATTGAACCCGGTCCTCTGGAAGGCCACTGAGCCATCTCTCTAGCCCACACTTTGAATTCTTGATCCTCCTATCTCTGCATTTGAAATGCTGGAATTTCAAGTGTGACAGTGTCTGGCCCCTAAACTCTCTATATTAATTTTTTTAAAGCCTGATCATTTATCCATTATGATTAAAAATTAATTACTGAAGCCAGGCAGTGGCTTTAATCCCAGCACTCGGGAGGCAGAGACAGGCAGATTTCTGAGTTCAAGGCCAGCCTGATCTACAGAGCAAGTTCCAGGGCAGCCAGGACTACACAGAGAAACCCTGTCTCAGGGGAAAAAAAAAAGATTTGAGTGGACTGAGACTTAGAAGCGCACACTCTCAGTGAGGACAGCTCATGTCTCTTGGCGATCTGTTCCTGGAGTCTTTGACTTCCTTCATTCCCTTGACCAAGTTTACTATGCAGCTCCCTCATTATCTTTCTTAGGGTGTTGTTTGTTCAGAGCAGTGGGTTGGTATTTAGGACACGGGGAGTAACAAGATGCAGAATCTTGGGTACCTTAGTTGGTCCTGGGATTTTTACCTTCACTGTTTAAGGGCTTTCAAACAATATATTGGCAGACATCATCTTTAGAAAGATTAAAAAGTTTTTAGAATCTGCTAGTTCTTTTGAGCTCTAACCTCAGAAGCAGAGTAGTATCTATTCTTCAAGTCTAGGAATACCCACCCTCCGCTAGTTTTTACAATGAACCAAGTGGAAAACACTCGGATTGTCACCCACAATGTACCTCAAACAGACTTGCCCTTCTCTGCAGTTCTCCTTGGTCTATAACAAAAATGCTCTTACTCAACAGCAGGTGCACTCTGCCGTGTATCGTGATACCTTGCTTCATGGAAGAACCTTGTCTGTTGTTCTCACCACCGATTGACCACATAACCCTCCACTCTTCACCCAGAGCATCAACAGCTACTTCCCTGGCTATGTACTTCTCATAGAAAGTATATTTTCATTCATTATCCACTTCAACGAGGTTCTGACAACAGTCAGCTTCCTCTTGACACAGCCTAGGAGATGGCATGAAAAGGGCCCCATAACATTTAAAATTGGGGTTTTTAGCCTTACCACTGTTTTGTCAATTCATCACTCTGGTAATCCAATGGTTAAGATCTTCCTAGCACTCATAGCCACTACTTCTTACTTGGGGGGAGGGGTCAGGTAGCTGATATTCAAATTTTATTTGGAAGAAAGTGACAAAATAATTTATGGAAGAATCTGAAATTTTCTCATCTCAGATCCTTGAAAAATCTTAGGAATTAAATGTAGGCCAGGCCTGATGGTTTCTAACTTTAGTCCCAGCACTTGGGAGGCACAAGCAGGTAGATCTCTCGAGTTTGAGGCCAGCCAGATCTATAGAGAGGAAGTTCCAGGACAGTTAGGGCTACACAGAGAAACCCTGTTTCAAAAACACCAACCAACTAATCAAACAAAAACAACAAGCAATCTGTCATTCCAACGCGGTGTACAAGTTGATGGGGAGTTCAAAGTCATCCTTTAGGTATACAGAGTGTTTGTGGTCAGTCTATGGTTATATAAGACTGTTTCAAATGAAAACAAAAACAAAGCCTCCATGACAAGAATTATAAAATCTGTAGTCCCTATTTAGTGTAACTCTTTGTGTTGACACATCAGAAGTATGAACAAAAGCCACAATTTTTATACTATAAAATGCAACTATTAATGCTTTGCATAGAGAATTTACATTCACAGAGACGATAGGATTGGTATTGATAAATATAATAAACACATGGTCAATAAAACTGAAATAGAAGGCCAATGCAGTTGTGCTTATCTAAGTAAAATGTAAAAGCAGAATAAATTACTCTAACTGTGTGCAGCTAAGATGTAGAGCACTCGAGGGAACAGAGAAGATGGCTCAGTTTGCTTCAGCACATCCCACACAAGCATTAAGGCCTGAAGTTGATCCCAGCACACATGTGAAAAGGATAGTCTTGCACTACATGCACTTAATTCCAAGGCTGGGAGGTAGACACAAGATCTCTGGGGTTCACTGGTCAGCAAGCATCAGCTAATCAGCGACCCCATCTCAAAAATTAAAGTGGAAGGCTGAAGAGATGGCTCAGTGGGTAATGTGCTTGCTACACAAGCATTAGAACAAAATTTGGATCCCCAGGATCCATAAAATGCTAGGCAATCTTGGTGGTTCACCTGTGCAAAGGGAAATGGAGAAAGGGAAATAATCCCCAGAGCAACCTAGGTAGTTAAACTGACAGAATCAGCAAGTTCTGGGTCTAAGACAGAGACTCTGCCTCAATATGTAAGGTGGAGAGACTGAAGACACTCTGATGGCAAGCTTTGGCCTGCAAACACGTACACCCACATATATGAACATACAAACACACAGATGGACATGGATGCACACACACATAAAAATCAAAAGGTAGACAACTGCCAAGGAACCACACTTGAAGTTCTCTTTGGCCTCCAAACACACAAGTGCCCCATCTCCTACATATGCAAAAGATGTTACACATTTACCTATTAAGCCCAAAACTCTTGTGTTATATCCAGCGTTAGATATCCAGTCACATAAAAAACAAATGAAAAGTGGGCCAGTGAAACGGCACATCGGGTAAAAGGGCTTACGATGCAAGCCTGTCAACTTGAATTTGATGGATGATAAATGACTTCTAAAAGCAACCCAAGACCATGACATAAGCATGCCCTCACTCATACAGATACACACACACACACACACACACACACACACACACACACACACACACACACACACACACACATTTTGTTTTTCAAGACAGGGTTTCTCTGTGTAGCCCTGGCTGTCCTAGAACTCACTCTCTAGACCAGGCTGCCCTCAAACTCAAGAAATCCTCCTGCCTCTGCATCCCAAGTGCTAGGATTAAGGGAGCTCTAAACCATGCCACATTTATAATTTTTTGAGTTAAAAATTTACTGGAAGATTCAAGATGTAGCTCAGTTAATCACTAGCTCAGCAAAAATATGTCTGAGGGAGCCGGGTGTTGGTGGCGCACCTTTAACCCAGCACTCGGGAGACAGAGGCAGGCGGATCTCTGTGAGTTCGAGGCCAGCCTGGTCTACAGAGCGAGTTCCAGGACAGCCTCCAATGCCACAGAGAAACCCTGTCTCCAAAAACAAAAAAAAATGCCTGAGGACTGAGTTCATTAGATTCTGTCTGAAAGAGTTGTGCATTTTTTACTGTGGCAAAGTAGGCAATATAAAGGGCTGTATTTGAGACAATACTAACAGTGACTCAATCCACTTGTGATGAAAGCCTAACACATGAATGATCAGTTTCTTACAGTGTTCTCACCTGGTCACAACTTGATGCGTGTAAGCCCTATTGGGACTTCCAAATGATTTAGCCAGGCCAAAATCTGCCAGCTTCAGAACTCCATTCTCATCTAACAACAAGTTGTTTGGTTTCAGATCCTGTATCGGTTATCAAAACAAACAAAATCAAGTAGGATTAGAGGAAAACAACATAATGACACATTTAGCTAGCCTATTTATTTATTTATTTGAAACAATCTTATGCAGCCCAGACAAAATTATGCAGGATTAGAAGAAAACATAATGATACATTTAGCTGGTTTATCCACCCTCCTACCTACCTACCTACCTACCTACCTAAATCCATCCATTCGAGACAGTCCTATGTATCCCAGGCTGCCGCTGGGTCACTATGTAGTCAAAAAGGACAAGTCTGAATCTCTGATGCTTCTACCTCTATGCCCAGAGAGCTGGGATGCAGTTTATGTATCAAATATGGGGTTGAGAGTGGGAACACAGGGCTTATATATGTTAAGCAAGCACTTTACCAACTGAGTTATGCCTCTAGTTAGCTTAACTTTAAAACAGAAAACAAAGCCAGGTGTGGCACATGCTTTTATTCCCAGCACTCAGGAAGCAGAACCTGGTCTACAAAGTGAGTTCCAGGACAGCTAGAGCTACACAGACCCTGTATTGAAAAGCTAAAGGGGAAAAAAACAAGAAAACAAACTAGGCATACTGGCACATACTGGTAATCCCAGCACTTTAAGAAACTTAAGACAAAGGATAATATATATACAGGCAGCCTAAATGTGGTAGTTTGAAAGAAAATGGCCCCCAAAAGGGGCCATTACCAAGAGGTGTGACTTGTTGAGGTAGGTGTGGCATTGCTGGGGGAAGTGTGTCACTGTGGGAGTGGGCTTTGAGGTTTCTTTTGCTCAAGCTTTGCTTAATGTAACATATAGCACAGTTCCTGTTGCCTTCTGATCAAGATGTAGCCAACACCATGTCTGCCTGCATGCTGGCATGCTCCCTGCCATGATGATAATGGACTGAACCTCTGAAACTATAAGTGAGCCACCCCAATTAAATGTTTTCCTTATAAGAATTGCTAGCAGGGCGTTGGTAGCAAGCGCCTGTACTTTAATCCCAGCACTCGGGAGGCAGAGGCTGGCGGATCTCTGTGAGTTCGAGACCAGAGTGAGTTCCAGGACAGCCTCTAAAACAATACAGAGAAACCCTGTCTCGAAAAACACACACACACACACACACACAAAAAAAAAAAAAAGAATTGCTGTGGTCATGGTGACTTCATAGCAACAGAGACTCTAAGACACCAGGCTACAGGGGAAGACCCTATCTTCAAACAAAAACTACCACCTGAGTTGCAAGGTGGTTCAGCAGGAAGAGCCATTTGCAGTAAAGTGGCAGGAGAGAGCTAACTGCTCAGAGCTGTCAACTGATGCCCACATATATACTATGGCACATACCCACCTACAGTTATACACCACGCATTTAAAATACATAAAATAAAAACCCAACCCAACTAACGATAAAAAGTTTAAACTTAAGCAGCAACATTAAAAGTCAGGTGTGGTGAAACACACCTACAATCCAAGCAATCAGGAGTCAAAGGCAGAAGAACCTGGCAAATCCCCGGCCATCCTGGAAAATAAAGCAAGACCTCTCATGGATGCATGGATGGTTATTTAAAACTTACCCTATGTAGAATCCAATGCTGATGTAAATATTCTAATCCCTGAAGAGTCATCAACATGTAGGCTTTAATGTGGGATGGTGTCAACACAAGACTACTATCCTTTATTATAACCTATAAAGTAGACAGTCAACATACAGGTATGTTTCATTATCCCAAATGAACTCTAACAAATAAAATATACAGATTTAAAATGAATGTATCTTTACACAAGTATTTCTATGAGAGATTATCCAGCTTTCCTTTAGAAGGTATTGCATGGCCAGGTATTGGTGGCGCATGTCTTTAATCCCAGCACTCGGGAGGCAGAGGCAGGTGGATCTCTGGGAGTTCCCGAGGCCAGCCCGATCTACAGAGTGAGTTCCAGGACAGGCTCCAAAACAATACAGAGAAACCCTGTCTGGGGGGCAGGGGGAGAAAGTATTGCATGAATTTCCAAAATTAGGTGGTTAAAAACCATCACTGATTTCAGGAGAAAGCAATAGTGTGCATATCCTATAACTCTGGTTTAGAAGCATTAAATGTCAAGGCTGGAAAGACAGCACAGCTGTTAAGAGAACTGACTGCTTCTCCAGGAGACCTGGGTTAAATTCCCAGCACCCATGTAGCAGCTCACAACTGTCTGTAATTCCAGTTCCAGGGAATCTGATAGCCTCACACAGATATACATGCAGGCAAAACACCAATGCACATAAATAAACAAATATTAAAAAGGGGGGGGTACTGAATGTCTGTCTGTCGGTTTTGTTTACTCCTTCTGACAAGTGCATTCAGTATTACTTTGGAAAATCACTTCATTCCAGCTCAGGCAACATAAGACTGACCTAACCTCTACCTGAGACCTCCACACTATAGTATCTTGGCCAAGAGAGGCTGCTTAAGAACAGACACATGATCTATGACCTAAAACCCAACACCATTCAAAAATCCAAATAATGATCATTGGTGGTGATGCACACCTTTAGTCCCAGCACTCAGGAGGCAAAGACAGACCTTTCTCTGAGTTTGAAGCCAGCCTGGTCTACAGCGCAAGTTCCAGAACTGCCAATGATACAAAAACAAAACAAAAAAAGCCCTCCCCACAGACACCCAAGTAATTGTGGTAGAATCAAAGGGAACCAACCATTTGCTTATAGGTGTAATTAGACTATCAGGCTTGGAATTGCCTGGGAAAGTAGAGTGAGAAAGTATGCCCATGACTAAAGGACTGAACCCAATGAGATTATCTATCTATAAGCTCTGCCACAGTCAGTTTATTGTTAAACTTATTGGTTCCTTTTTATTTCTGGGTAGTATTTTCCTGGATGGGCAACTAACCTGTTTAAATATCTATCAGATGAAGCACATTTTAGCTGTTTCCAATTTTAGTGAAATTTATACACTAAGTAATTTCTGTGCTGAAATGTTTCTCTTGGATAAATAGCAAACAGCTGTTGATAGAGCACATTATTACTAATGGCTGCAATTTTACCGATGCTGTTATACATAATATAATACTGGTGAATTAGTGGTACTGATGCTAGAACCTATAAAAAGATATAGCACTGCCACCAGTATGCATACTTAGCGAAATTTCTTTTACTATTTGATGCTGTGTTTTAAAAATCCCTTTTACCTTTGATCTGCTAGTAAAAGTGCCTTTAATTTTATAACAAACTGTCCTATTTTTCAAAGTTACTGTAATATATATTACTATCACATTCAAACCAGCAATGTATGAGAATTCTAGTTCTTTTAAATTCTTGGAAAAAGGATTGTCACTTTTTCCAAGATTCAACTAATGAAAAGCATGAAACTTTTAAAAATCTAAATCTCTGTACTTAATAACCAGAAATACAATTAAATGTTAAAAAAAAAAACAGATCTTTTTGACTTCTGCAAAAGTAAAAAATTCTTTGTGGGTATTCTCTTAAAGAAGAATAAACATGCTCATTCTCACTAAGTGGGGAAAGTTTCTAGGAACCCTAATCTTACCTCCAGGTCAGTTTCCATGAAATCAAAGACAAGGCTAATGTTAGATTTATGTCCAAATGCATCTAGGAGCTGCAAAGCAAAGCAAAACAGTTAAACTGTCATTCTCTACTCAATGTTGGAATTTACTGTTGGTGAAGTAATTTAAAAAAACTATTTCTTTCCCCACCCTCCCACAGTACTGGGAAACTCTGGACCTTGAACATGCCAGGCAAGTGTTCTACCACAAAGACACATCCCCCCACCCCCAAATCTCTGGACCTTAGACCAGGTATCACTATGTAACTCAGGCTGACCTAGAACCTGCTATGTAGTCCAGGCTGGCCTGAACTCACAATCCTCCTGACTCTACCTCTCAGGGAATTATAATACAAATGTGTGTACTACCTGGATTTTTTTTCAAGACAGGGTTTCTTTGTATTGTTTTGGAGGCTGTCCTGGAACTCTCTCTGTAGACCAGGCTGGCCTTGAACTCACAGATATCCAACTGCCTCTGCCTCCCGAGTGCTGGGATTAAAGGCATACGCCACCATGGCCTGGCTTTTTTTGTTTTTTGTTTTTTTGTTTTTTTTAAGACAGGGTTTCTCTGTGGCTTTAGAGGCTGTCCTGGAACTAGCTCTTGTAGACCAGGTTGGTCTCAAACTAAGAGATCCACCTGACTCTGCCTCCTGAGTCCTGAGACTAAAGGCATGTGCCACTACCACCTGGCCTGGCTTAAATTTTTAAACTGCTGGAAATTTCAGGTAAAGCTGAAAGTCCTTTATTAAATATAACAATTGCCCCATTTTTCAAAAGGAGTTAGTTTTCTCAGGCACAAAAACATTAAAACTTATTTAACAAACCCAATAAAAACTTAAAAACTCCTCTCCCTAAAACCAGACAATCTGAATAAATAATGAAAATTTCCAAAACAATACAGAGAAACCCTGTCTTGTAAAACCAAAAAAGAAAAAAAAAATTCACAGTCCTGGTGATGGCGGCACATGCCTTTAATCCCAGCACTTGGAAGGTCTCAGAGGCTGGTAGATCTCAGTGAATTTGAGATCAGTCTGGTTTACAATGGGAGTTCCAGGACAGTCAGGACTGTTACACAGAGGAACCCTGTCTCAAAAAAAAAAACAAAAAAACAAAACAAAAAAAAAAAAACACAGAAAATTTCACCTTGATTTGTAGTTGAAAAAAAAATTCCTGCATTTGGGTACATAGTTCAGCAGTTAAAGCCCCTGCTATACAAGTAGGGGGACTGGACCAGAGTTCAGCTTTTAGAAACCATATAAACACCAAGTAGGAAAGGTGTGCCTGCCAGATCGCCATGAGTTTGAGAGTTACAGAGTGAATTCCAGGACAGCCTCCAAAGCTACAGAGAAACCCTGCCTCAGAAGGGGGGAGAGAGAGAGAGAGAGAGAGAGAGAGAGAGAGAGAGAGAGAGAGAGAGAGAGAAAGAGAAAGAGAGAGAGAGAGAGAGAGAAAGAGAGAGAGAGAGAGAGAGAGAGAGAGAGAGAGAGAGAGAGAGAGAGAGAGAGAGAGAGAGAGAGAGAGAAGAAAAACATTCTTTTTTTTGCCATGCATGATGGCACACGCCTTTAATCTAGCACTCAGGAGGCAAAGGCGATCTCAGAGTCTGAAGCTACAGGGTGAGTTCCAGGACAGGAAGGCCTACAGAGAAACCTTGTCTCAAATAAACAAACAAAAAATTTTAAGCAAATGCTAAACTCTCGCCAGTGATACACACATGTAGTTATAGCACAGTAATTATAGTAACCAACTGTAACAGGGTCCCACACCTTAGCACAACTGACTCCACAATGGGAGTCCCATTCAGTCATAAAACTCAGCATACAGACAGCATCACCTGCCAAAATGAAGACAAAGACCTCATCCATCAAAGTTCATCGTTCTGGGAAAATGTTCTCACCTTGACAGGCTTGGTGCTACACTGGGCTCCCAAACACTCATTGCCAGCTGATTAATAAGACTTCCTATTGGCTTAACCCATGCCCAAGCAGTCTCCTCTGGTGGACACCCCACAAGACTAATTACTTGGGAGGCAAGACAGAAGAATCACCTGAGCCCCTGAGTTCAAGGGTATACTACACAAAAGGCTGCCAAATGAAACAAAGTAAGAAAAGAGGATCTTCTGAATGGCATCTGCCATAAACATTTCCAATTGGATAGCCTATAAAACTTCAAACAACCACATTCTAGACTTATGGAGACAAAAAGTACTTGAATGCAAGCTGCAACTTTTAACCCAAAAGCAAACAGCTTAGATCATACTCACACCAATTATGTTGGGATGACTTAGCTCCTGTAACAATTTTATCTCTCTTAAGGCTGTTCTATTTATACCTATGGGAAAAGATGCAAAAAATGAACAATAATCAAACCTTTTACAAATGTATTTTTTAGGAAAGACCATTTCAGTAAATAAACATTTCACTCACAAAACTGAATAATTTTTACTATTTGTATGAGAAAGTTCTTTTTCTCACATTGTTTTAAAGTAGCTTAACATAGTCTGAAAAATGGTGAAGAAAGTACTTATTTCTCTATTATATCACTCTGAAAATCGTTACAATAACATACAGATACATAACAGGCGTGGTAATAGGGTAATAGGGTCTTTTCTCCTGTCCTACAAACATCAGAGGAATATATGCCAATAGCAAATTAGCACTAAGGAACCTTTTTCCAATATGAATGATAGAAATCAAAACCAAGACTTTGTCATAATAACTATTATTTGATGGCTAAACAGGGACTGACACTCTTAAGATGCTTGAGAATAAGAAATCTTTCCCCAATGTGTCCATTCTATAGGAACTTTGTGTTCTGTGAAGATGTATCCTTGAATTTTTCAAAGCAATTAGAAAACCAGAAATGCAAAAGGTAATGACGTACCAAGGACATCCAGACAAGGGCCCAACAAACTCACTGCCCTCCATTTACAGGATCTGAATCCTCACAATGCTTAAATGCTGTTCTAACAGGGCTCTCTTTAGTCTCTAGGCCAGTGGTTCTCCAACTTCCTAATGCTATGTTCATGTAGTGGTGACCCCAACAATAAAATTATTTTCGTTGATACTTCATAACTGTAATTTTCCTACGGCTATGATTTGTAATGTAAATATCTGATATGCAGGATATCTGATATGCAACACCTGTGAAGAGGTTTGATCTTCAAAGGGGTTGAGACCCACAGGTTGATAACCACTGTTCTAGAGACACTGTGATAATATATAGAATTATTATTAGCTCTCATTGGCATTTTCCTCAGATCAGAATAAACACATCTCCTGTTTTATCAAATTATATTTAATACTTACCATCTTTAGCTTCTGACCTGTGTCCAAGTTTGATCTGGGAGAGAAAAGAGGGGGAGACCAAAACACATACATTAATAATGTGTGGAGGGAGGGCTCGAAAGACGGTTCAGTGCTTAAGAGCACTGGTTGCTCTTCAGAGGTCCTGAGTTTAATTCCCAGCAGCCATAAGGTTGCTCACAATGACCTATAATGAGGTCTGGCGCCCTCTTTTGGAGTGCGGGCATACCTGGAGGCTGACCTCATGCATAACAACAAACAAATAAGTCTTTTAAAAAAAGTGTGGGGGATGGAGATGGTCCAGGGGTTGAGAACACTGACTGCTTCCAAAGGATCTAGGTTCAATTCCCAACACCCACACAGCAGCTCACAACTGCCAGTTCCAGTGAGATCTAACGCTCACCTCTGACCTTGGACAGAACCAGGCATACAGACCAACCTGAGAGGATATAGAATTGCTGAGTGTGGGCAGAGCAGCTTCTATATTGGGCGTAACTGAGGTAAAGGACCCACATAAACTCAGGCATCACCATCCAGTAAGTTGGGGTGCAAGACTGAATAAAATGGAGGAGAAGGGAGGAACACCAACCCTTCCCCTCTGTGCACCCTGACTGTGGGTGCAAAGCCACCTGCTGTCTTAGAGTTCTGCTACCTGACCTCCCCTGCCATGCTGGACTGCATCCTTGAACTGTGAAACGTACATGGAAGTAAAGCACTCATACACAATTACAAACATTTTAAAAACCAAACGGACAAAAACTGCAATGCATTAACATATAATCTATGTGCAAAAAACCTTAGCTGCAAGCAGAGCTGACATGGTGGTGCACACCTGTAGTCTCAATACTTGGGAGGCCAAGCCTGGGTTTTTTTTTTTTTTTAAGTTATTTATTATATACTCAGTGTTCTACCTGCATGTATGCCTGCAGGCCACAAGAGGGCACCAGATCTCATTACAGATGGCTGTGAGCCACCATGTGGTTGCTGGGAATTGAACTCAGGACCCCTGGAAGAGCAGTCAGTGCTCTTAACCTCTGAGCCATCTCTCCAGCCCCAAGCCTGGGTTATGCAGCAAGATTCTTCCTCAAATGGGACTGGTAGCACATTCCTTTAATCCCACCACTCATGAAACAAAGCAGCAGACCTCTTGAGTTTGAGGTTACCCAGGTTTACACCCGAGTTCTAGACTCCGCCTTTAAAAAAAAATTAAGCCGCTGTAAAATTACATAGCAATATGTAGATCACGAGAACTGGAAATCCAAAGGCTCGGGGGCAGAGTTTGAGCAGCACAGCAGAACCAAAATGAATCAAGCATCTACTTCAAGTTTCTGAACTACACATGTAAACAACTGAACTCAACAAGGCTCATCTGATAACTCTCCAGTCTGAGGTTAGTCCTCTACCCACAATGTGGAAGGGAAGAACTCCCAAGTTGTTCTCTGGCCTTTAGGGCATGCTATGATGCATGTAAACACACAAATAAGTGTCTCCTTTACACTCCAGCCTTCTTTTTTAAAGACAGGGTTTCTCTGTGTAGCCCTGGCTATCCTGGACCTTGTTCTGAAGATGGCTGGCTTCAAATTTACATTGATCTACTTGCCTCTACCTCTCAAGTGCTGGGATTAAAAGCTTGCACCATGAACCACCACCCCCATTTTTTTTTAGTTTAAGTTTTTGTTTTGCTTTGTTTTTGAGAAAGGGTCTTGCTGTCTGTAGTCCAGGTTGGACCTAACGTTCCTCACCTTAACCTCTGAAAATACTAGGATTATTTCATATAAAACAGGAGATGTGTTAATTACCATACCCAGATCTCCTTTCATCTTTTCAAGCTACATACGGACTAGATAACTGAGGGTATGGCAATTTATTTCCCCCAAATTACTTCAATTTAGTATAATTGGGAGAAAAAAGTATCATAAACAGAAAACAGCATATGTAGTTGGTAATATGTCCAATAGCCCTACATTTTTCACAAATCTAACTTACAAAATGTGATGGATGTAAGGATAGTCCACCCTAAGCATAGCACACTGAAAGTTTAGTCTTATAAAAAGCATGGCCAGGTCAAAGAGCACTCTGCTCCTTACTACTTTATACAAGGGCTGTCAATCACTGAGAAAAGATTACTACTCTTCCTTAAGGAAACGCTCCTTATGTATACTGCAAAGACAACCTTCTTTTTAAAGGAGGCCACTATGACACCACAAAATATAAGACACTTAGGGCACTAACAAACTGACTTAGATTTATATGGGAAAAACAGACACACAATAAAAATAGAGTAATCTTAAACCAGATGGTGTTAGCACACACCTTTAATCCCAACACTTAGGAGGCAGGTGAATCTATGTGAGTTCGAGGATATCCTGGTCTGCAGAGGGAGTTCCAAGACAGCCAGGGCTACACAGACAAGTCCTATCTCAAAACAAACAAGAATAATCTCATGAAGTCCTTTATCACTAAAATTCAAGTGATTAGTATTTTGCTATGCTTAAGTTAGCTAAAATTTTAAAACAACTCCAAGATATCACTCCATTCCCCTTTATACAAGTTGTCCTCTAGGTAGCATGTGCTCTCAACCACAGAGATACAAATACACAAAATACTTAAATTTTTTTTTTTCGAGACAGGGTTTCTCTGTAATGTTTTGGAGGCCATCCTGGAACTCACTCTGTAGACCAGGCTGGCCTCTAACTCAGAGATCCGCCTGCCTCTGCCTCCCGAGTGCCGCGATTAAAGGTGTGCGCCACCAACGCCCGGCAAATTTTTTTTTAAAAATCAATAAATATAGGCTAGGAATGTGGCTCAATTACAAAGTTCTTGCCTAGACTGCTCAAAGCTATGGGTTCAATCTGTATATACACTCAAGCAGACACATAAATAAAATTTTAAGGGGGAAAGGAGTCCTGGGGAAATGGTTCAGTGGGTAACACTGGCTCTGCAAGTATGAGGATGTGAATTCAGAGCCACAGCATCCATGTAAAAGACCAGCCTTGGCTATGTGCGCCTGAGACTGACCGGGACAAAAAGATTCAGAGAGTTTGCTGGTGAGCCAGCCAGCCTTGCTAGCCAAACTAAAATAGCAAGCATCTGGTTTTACTGAGAGACAATTCAAAGGCAATTAACAAAAAGAACAATGAAGGAAGTCATCAGATATCCTGCTCTGGCCTGTGCACGGGCAGACCTGAAATCATCTGCATGCACCATAAACAACTATAAGACACACTGATACAGCAAGGCACATAGAAAATAATCCAAAAGCCACAAACACAGCAGACTGCCTAAGTAGCTTGAGAAATGGAAAAAAAGTAGCAATTCCATTTAACTTTTTTAAAAAAAGCATTTTATGTGTGTGGGTGTTTTGTCTGCACATATGCCTCTGGACCACATGCATGCCTTGTGCCTGTGGAGGACAGAAGAAAGTGTTGATCCCCTGGAACTGGAGTGACAGACAGTTGTTAGTCATCACATGAGCTCTGGGAACCAAACTTGGGTCTTCTATACCAACAGTCAGTGCAACAGTCAGTGCTCTTAACTTCTAAGTCACATTAGCAAATTTTAAGAAGTCCAAGTCATAATAAATGCAAAAGCAGTTCTTTTTTTCTTTGTAAAATCAAAGATGTTAGCAAATGAACATGAGTAGAAATTATGAGTGTTAGGAAAGAAAGGTTCACAGGAGAAAGTACAAATGATGTCAAGGGTGGGAGAAGGAAGACCCACAATCCAGCCACTGCAAATGTCCTGGAGACAACTATCAGTAGAAATCAAAGAAACCGAAAAACCAAAACAAGAGATGATGCAGCATGTAAAAGGCCTTTGCTTCTTATTCTTAGTACCTTATAAACCACAAAATTGAATTATTTCAAGTAAAATAATGACATAGGATACCTAGAGGCAGGACATAGAGGCAGAGTTTAAGGTCACTCTCTACTAAATAACTTCGAAGTCAGGTCGTAAGAGCCTTTAAAAAGGAGAAACAAGCTGGATTCTAAATCCTAATGAATGTTAAAAGCAGACAAGAAAACCGGATTGTACATACAATTACAAAACCCAGTATGTCAACCATGTGGAAAGACTACCAGTCAACTAAGGTTTTCTTTGTTTTCGATACAGCGTGCACTGTTTGCCAAGGCTGGAGTGAACTCTTAGACTCAGATGATCCTCCTACCTATCTCCTGAGAACATACTCCGCTGTATCCAGCTAAGTCAGGACGGGTGATTTGGCTCCGTGGTTAAGAGCACTGACTGCTCTTCCAGAGGACCTGGGTTTGATTCCCAGTGCCCACATGGCAGCTCACAACCATCTGTAACCCAGTCACGGGATAAGACTCTCTTCCTGCCTCTATACACAGTTGTACAAACATGCAGGCAAAGCACCACAAACATAATAAACAAATGCCTATTAATGTACTCATCACAGTCCAGGTATAAAGTAAATGATTTTTATGGACAATGAGCTCCGATGGAAGGATTACAGATTATGATAATGACATGGAAAAGATAGAGAATGAAGAATCTTGAAGAACAGGGAAGGAAAGTAAACATCTGTTTTGGTGCAATTAACAGAAGGCAACTCTGGTGAAGGAGAAGCCTAAATAATAAGACTTCATAGGCTGGAGAGGGCTCAGAGGTCAAGAGCACTGGCTGCTCTTCCAGAGATCCTGAGTTCAATTCCCAGAAATGACATGGTGGCTCACAACCACCTGTAATGAGATCTGGTGCCCTCTTCTGGCCTGCGGACATACATGAATAAATCTTAAAAAGAAAAATCTACCACACCAAGCTCTAGAGAGAAAATACAATGAAGCTGGGAGAAATACAAAGGTTAGTGTGGCGGGGATACAGTGACCACAAGTGGAACTGAGAATGACCAAGACGTCAGCAGAGTTGAGATGGAGAGATGGGGAGTGGTTCATCCCTGTAATTCTATCATTTCAGAGGCTGAAGCAGGAAGACTTGAGTTTGAGGTCAGTCTGGGCTATATAATTCCGGGCCAACCTAGGCTACAAAGTTCCTGTCACAAGAAAAGAGATATTCAAGGGTTTTTGGGATTTTGTTGCTGTTGCTTGTTTTTCGAAGCAGTGGGCCTCACATAAACTAGGCAAATACTCTCCGAGTCCAGGCCTCTTCTTACTTTTTATTTTGGAACAAGGTCTTACTAAGCTGCCTATGCTGGCCTTGAAAGTCACTCCATAGCCCAGGGTACTGAATTTTATGTGTGTGTGTGTGTGTGTATGCATATGTGAGTGCATGCAGACCAGAGGACAGCTCAAATGTCCTTCCTCACACTGTCCAGCTGGGTCTTTTTAGACAATGTCTCTTGTTGAAATTCACCAAACAGGGTAGGCTTCATGGAGCTAGCCTTGGGGATTTGCCTGTCTCCACCTGTTGGGGGAGGTTCTCTCGCCTAAACCTCTGAAATAGCTGGGATCACAAGCATAAACTACCAAACCCAGCTAAGAGAATTAAGAGTTTAGATCACAATCTGGAAAACAAGACTATGAGAAGTAAAAAACAAAAAAACAAACAAACAAAAACAAACAAAAAAAAAAGCACAGGAGTCAGCAGGATGACTCACTGGGTGAAGGCACTTTTCGCCCAACCAAAATTCAATCCCTGGAACCTACCAGGTGCAAAGAGAACCAGCTCCACAGTTGTCCCTTGAGTTACACATACGCACGCGCATGCATACACACGCATACACACACACACACACACACGGAATTATTTATTTATACAAAAATAATTTCTTAAAGCAAAGACAATAGCAGCAGAAATGCCTGAAAGGAAGACATTGAGCCAAGCACTAAATGGGTGAACACGCGTACCTGGGAGGCTGGAAGCTGGGAGCAGTGAGTTTACAAAGGAGGAAACAGACTTAAAGCCGCACAGGGATATGGAGGTCGATGACACAACAGGCCCTGAGTTATGCGAGGAAAAACAGAGTCACCCTAAGATGGCTACAGATTTCAGCAGCGTGAAAAAGCCAACAGCTGCGCTCTAATCCCAGCCGCAGCAATTACTAGCTGTGTGATCTTGAAGCCATCTAACTTGCCTCGGAACCTCAAGCGTGAAACAAAGAAACCTTTACCCATTCTACAGGCTGTTTGTAAGGTTAAATGGGTTTAAAAAAATAAGTCAAAGTGTCTGGCACACAGGAAGCTATGTCAGAAGTGCTGTCAATGACTGTCAGTTTAAACACTTCAGGCACTTCAGAAAGTGCCCTACATCCACGTTAACACCAATGAAAACCTTTCTGTACACACAACAGAGGTGTAAGTAACAACCTGTGGCCTGGGAAGAGCGTGGCATCCAAGAGAACGGAGGAAACGGTAGTACTTGCCTCCTTGTCCAACAACCAATTCTATGGAGCAAAAAAGTTCTGGTTTACATTGTTTGAACAATGCTTCAGCTCGAGTTCCATCTTGAAACACAAGACATTAATAAATACTACCGTCTCTAGAAATCGTGTAACTCCCACCATCAGAGTGTGACCATGCAAATTAAAACGAAGCCAAGCGAGTGCAATCCCAGCACTCGGGAGGCAGAGGCAGGGGGATGTCCTCGAGCTGGAGCAAGACCGTCTCAAAGACCCCCCCACCAATCAACTGGCAACGCCCAAGTATTTTCAGTAAGAGTTTGCTTGGCGTGGTGGCACGCGCCAGCGAACCCAACGAGGCAGAGGCGGGAGAGGCCAGCAGCAAGTTCTAGGTCGCCTGAGTCCGAAATTGCGGGCTCGGTGCCTGCATGGGGCTACGTGTCAAGCGAGACACGAAGACTGGGGAGAAGAAGAAAAAAAAAAAAACAACGTAAAGAGATAACTCACTTTCTTAATGGCGACAATTTGGTTGGTGTTCTTATCTCTGGCCTTGTAGACCGTAGCGAACTAGAAAGGAAAACAGTAACAAATCCGTGAGAGGCCTTGACGTGATGGCTGGGAAATCTTGCAGCGGGTTCGCGGGTCGGGCCAGCGTCCCCCCCCGGGGGGGGGAGGCCAAGGAGGGCGTGGGGAGCACCGCTCGGCCAGCGTCCCCCGGGGAGGGCGTGGGGAGCACGGCTCGGCCAGCGTCCCCGGGAAGGGAGAAAGGGAGGCCGGGGAGGGCGTGGGGAGCACCGCTCGGCCAGCGTCCCCGGGAAGGGAGAAAGGGAGGCCGGGGAGGGCGTGGGGAGCACCGCTCGGCCAGCGTCCCCCGGGGAGGGCGTGGGGAGCACCGCTCGGCCAGCGTCCCCCGGGGAGGGCGTGGGGAGCACCGCTCGGCCAGCGTCCCCCGGGGAGGGAGGAAGAGCCCGCGGTGGCCGGGGTGTGCCTGCGCGAGAGCGGCCGCGCAGACCCGAGTCAGCAGCCCAGGGCCTCACCTGTCCCTCCCCGAGGAAGTCCAGTTTCTCATAGCGCTTCGCTCGAGACTTCACGTCCACAGCCATGCGAGTGGGAAGCCGGACTCCAGCCGAAAGCCGCGGCCGCCACACCGCAGGAATTTAAAGCGTCGGAAACCTCCCAACAGCTACTTCCGTCCACTGGACGCGCACAGCCTGCTGGCCCCGCCCGCATTTCCGCTGTGGGCGGGGCCGGTCCTACGGAAGCCGAACTGGGCTTTGAGCTGTGCCCTCCGCCCGCTGCCACGTGCGCACCGAGGCCGGAAGCGACGTGTTGTAGGTGGCTGTCAAGTTTTGTTTTGTTTTGTTTTGTTTTGTTTTTGTTTTTTTTCGAGACAGGATTTCTCTGTGGCTTTGGAGGCTGTCCTGGAACTCGCTCTGTAGACCAGGCTGGCCTCGAACTCAGAGATCCGCCTGCCTCTGCTTCCCGAGTGCTGGGATTAAAGGCGTGAGCCACCAACGCCGGGCTGGCTGTCCAGTTTTTTAATGTCGACTTTGGTTTTAACTTGGATCTGCTTCCGAGTATCGATAGATCAGCGTTCTGCTACAGTGTTTGTGAGTTCGGACTTTAGCAGGGTGTAAGATGGCGGAGGGCTTGGCCTTGCCCGGGTCTTGCTCTGCGTTGTCCTGTCGCCTCAGTCGCTAAGGACGCCAAACCCCTCCTTCTAAGGAGAGCCAAGTTCTTTTTTTTTTTTTTTTTTTTTTTTTTTTTTTGGTTATTCGAGATAGGGTTTCTCTGTATTGTAGAGCCAAGTTCTTAAAGGTTGATTTATGAAGAAACAGGCCTAGGGAAGCAAAACTCAGCCCAGCTGAACATTATGTTATGGAATAGGTGTTTGGTATTCTATAAAATCGAGACTAATGAATTAAGAGAAACATACAGAGCGTTTGAACGTAGTGTCAACTATGCAATTAGTAATTACGCGGCAAGCCCATCGATCTGCCAATTACTGGCCCCAGCAATGGTCTCCGTTTGAGTCATATTTTTGTCTTTACATCGCTCTAGTTTGCAGGGTGGAGGGTGGTTTTGCTGAGACCTCAATTCCCTGGTAGATTTAAGAACTGATTTTCACATTGTTCCGTTTTTTCCTCACGAGGAAACAAATGATGAAGCCGAAATTACTTCTGAGGCAAACCCAAAAGTTTTTAATGCCTTTGCTTTTAATTTTTATTGTATGTATGTTGCTTTTTTGCCTGCATGTGTGTCAGTGTATCTTATGTGCACAGTGCCCATGGAGGTCAAGAGAGGGCATTGGATCCCTGGGAACTGGAGTCACAGACCTCTGTGAGCCACCACGTGGGTCTTCTTGAGGAACAGCAAGGGCCATCTCTGAGCCCCTTACTACCTTCATTAGTAAAAATTTTGAGATCATTCCTTTGAATTGAGCTTCTACACAGAGTTCACCAAATCAAAAGGGAGTCAATCATCCTGAAGTCCCACACCAAACAGAAACTAGGTTACTTATCTGACTTTCCAAGAAGCTAGCAGTCAGATTTCCCAAACTGGCCGGTTTTAGGTGACATAAAGAAGTGCTTTAGCCCTTATGAAAAAGTAAACTTGTTTATCCGATCAGATTTTTTTCCCCTGCTGTTGCGCCTTCTTGTTCCTCCCCACACATCCCTCTTCTGCCAGGCCTGGTAGAGCACTTAAGTAGTCTGGAAGCTGAGGAAGGAAGCTTGCAGTGACCAGGAGAGCCTGGACTACCGTCTGTTTGACAAAAACGTGTTTTGCTATTGGTCATTGGGAGTTCTATGATTCTAATATGAATGCTACTCAATTCATGAATCACAAAATTCTGCAACAAGGCCGGGCGTTGGTGGCGCACGCCTTTAATCCCAGCACTTGGGAGGCAGACGCAGGTGGATCTCTGTGAGTTCGAGGCCAGCCTGGTCTACAAGAGCTAGTTCCAGGACAGCCTCCAAAGCCACAGAGAAATCCTGTCTCGAAAAACCAAAAAAAAAAAAAAAAAAAAGAGCACAAAATTCTGCAACAACATAACCAACCTGGTTGTGATTAGAATCCAACTTCTTAGTTAACATAAATCATGCAACAATAAAAAACTCATTTAAAATGCATTCATGCCTTTAATCCCACACTGGGGAGGCAGCAAAGACAGGCAGATTTCTGTGAGTTTGAGGCAGCAGATCTACTCAGTAAGTTCCAGGTCAGCCAGGGATACTCAGAGATCTTGTCTCACAATAACAAAAAAAAAATTTTAAAAATTAACAAATACGCCGGGCGGTGGTGGCGCACGCCTTTAATCCCAGCACTCAGGAGGCAGAGGCAGACGTATCTCTGTGAGTTCGAGGCCTGGCTGGACCGATAGCCTCCAAAACAATACAGAGAAACCCTGTCTCGTAAAAACCAAAAAAAAAAAAAAAATTTAACAAATACTTATTGCTTTCTACATGCCAAACATTATTGTGGACCTACAAAAATCATGGACCATAACATCCTCTTGTAATGAAAGATCAAAAGATAATCAGGTCCAGACTATTTAGGTCTACATAGTGAGATCTTGTCTCAGAGGAAAAAAAAGAAAGTTAGCTATGAGGCATGACGGTGATATGAAACAGATTGAGACACAGCTGGTGCTTGGAAGTTTTAAATATGGCAGTGCAAGAAAGATGTCATTGAAAGTCCATTGGATTTTTTAAAAATATTTTATTTTATGTACATTGGTGTTTTGCCTGTAGGTATATCTGTGTGAAGTGTGAAGTGTCAGATCCAGGAGTTAACGACAGTTGTGAACTGCCATATGGGTGCTGGGAATTGAAGCCAGATCTTCTGGAAAAGCAGTTGGTGCTCTTAACAGCTGAGCCATCTTTCCAGCCCTAAGTTCATTGGATTTTAGCAATAGAATCAGGTTAGTTTTTTTATTGCATTTTATTGTCATTATGGTAGGGTTGCCATGGTACACATTTGAAGGTCAAGTCTTCAGGCCTGATGGTAGGAGTCTTTTCCTGCTGGACTATCTATCTCTCTGGTCCCAGACGATGTTTTAAAAGGTTTCCACTGCTGCTAAGAGACTACACTATGGACTGAAAGGGCAATTATTGTTGTAAAACAGATGGCTTCACTAGAGTGATACTAAAATTTTGATTCTTAGCCCACAGGATCTACTAACAAGCTGATCCCAAAGTTCTGAGCTGGAGTAGCTGTCAAAATGGCAATTTTCCCCCTTTCTTCGCAACTGATGTTTCTAAAACTTAGGAATCTTAATTTTTGGAGACATGATGGAGACAGCAACAGAGTACAAGATGCTAGTGCAGTGCAAAGTGGCTCCGGGTCCATCCAGAGTGCCTGTTTTTGCATACTGGCCAAGCAACGTTCAGTCACTAGATGACTTACATTTCTCTCTGTACCTGTCCCCTCCTCTGTAACAGATCCACTCGACACTGATGGGAGGCTTAAGTAACTTTGTGTGGGCAAAACAAATGTGTGGCAAGTGGTTAGCTAGCTGTTATTGCTTCAACCCTTCGTCACTACTTAGGTCCAGATAAAACATCTATAGATTGCAGAAAAACATGTTTTGAAGCCATGGGATTGAATCCAAGGCATTGTGAATGCTGGGCAATAGGTCACTAAAATACATCCACAGCCCCAAAGTAATTTGTGTGTGTGTTTTTTTTTTGGTATGGTGCATGCATGTATTGAGGGTACATATGCAGAAGTGAGTGTTGGGGTTCATCTTCAATCACTCCATCTGTGTTTCTGAGACAGTCGCTCACTAAGCCCAGAGCTCACCAGTTCAGCTAGCCTGGCTGGTCAGAAAGTTCCAGGGTCCTACATTTCTGCCTGCCCAGGAAGAAGATTACAAGTACATAACTGCTCCCAGCTTTTCATGTGGGTGCGGGGGGCCCTCGGGACTGCATGGCAAGTACTCTGATTAGAGTCATGACTTCACCCTGAAATAGTTTTATTTGGAAAAAATATATAGCTGGACATGTTAGTGCATGCCTTTAATCCCAGAAGGGCAGAAGCACAGATTTCTATGAGTTTGGAAGCCACACTGGTTTATGTAGTGAGTTCCAGGCCAGCCAAACTACATAGTAAGACCCTGTCTCAAAAAAAAAAAATCATGTATTTTTCATGTTACCAGAATAGCTTACTACTAACATCAAATATAAACCCTTGTCTCTCATTAGGTTACCAGTCACAGCACAGAACTTACAAGAAAAACAAGTCAACTCTGGAATGATTAAAAAAAAAAAAAGATTAGCCTACAGGTGATTGAACAAAAGTAGAAGATAACACAAATCTAGTGTCTGTTGATCATTCTTTATAAAGTATATTCTAGAAATAAAATATGGAAGTATGGAAGAGAATTTAGTCAGTCTTGTGAAGATTAGCAGGAGAACTAGTAAGGTGGATTTTGAGACTGTCAGACATTATAACAGTGAAGTTAATTATCAGGATTTGAAAACATCACAAACAGTAAGCTAAATGAATATCCTCCCAAACACAGGGTAAGTAGCAATTTCTAGTGAAATACTTGTTCCCATGCTATCTTATCTCTTGTTTTACTTTATATATTGTAGTCACCCATTGGGCTTGGGTTCTGGACCCTTGACTAGGAAGTGAGGCGATGAAGAAATGACAAACACAGAGACACAAGTACAGCAACCCTGGGGCTCTCCTGCTGCTCCTAGAACCCCATTGTGATTACCAGATACAGCACACAGGGAGGAGTTAGCTAGTCTTGGTAGGTCTCTGTAGGACACCAATCTCAGGCTGGAAAACCATCAGGGAGGAAGAAGCTGCAGCTGCTAGTCTCTGCACACACTGATCAACCATTCATAAACACTAATGCTCAGTCCCTCTGAGCCTACCCAAGTAATGGGGATGTCCTTCTGTATGCTGTGAATATAAATTTCTCCTATTGATAAATAAATGTTGATTGGCCAGTAGCCAGGCAGGACATATAGGCAGGGCTACCAGACTAGAATTCTGGGAAGAGGAACTCAGTGAGTCACCAGAGAGACGCTGTGTAGCTGCCAAAAGGAATAACATGTCAGAGCATTATTGGTAAGCCACAGCCTTGTGGCAATATATAGTTTATTAGAAATGGGTTAATAATTAAGAGAGAACTAGCCGGGGCTGGAGAGATGGCTCAGAGGTTAAGAGCACTGACTGTTCTTCCAAAGGTCCTGAGTTCAATTCCCAGCAACCACATGGTGGCTCACAACCACCTTGAATGAGATCTGGTGCCTTCTGCTGGCACACATGCAGAAGAATGTGTACATAATAAATAAATAAAATTTAAAAAAAAAGAGAGAACTAGCCAAAAAGCCTTAGCCATTGGCCAGTTTATAATTAATATAAGCCTTTGTGTGTTTATTTGGGTCCAAATGGCTGCATGACCAGGCTGAACAGAAACTTCTGTCCACATCCAAGTAAGGTTTTATCATTCCTGTGGAGCTAAGGCCTTGGAGTCCTAGACATGGTCATGTTCACATTAACATTCACTCAGGACTTCACTCCCTACAAAACAGACACCTGTTCTGAATATAGGTACAAATAATCTTCTATATGATCTTCATAGTCTTAATCCCACTGCCAGCTTTTATTTAAATTACATTTTTTATTACTTAGAATAGGTATGATTATATCGGTTATTCTCAGATAACCTTGTGAATGAAAAAAGCCAGATAATGAAGAATAGTGGAAATATCTCACTACTCCTCATCCAACTTCAGAGAAAAAAACTTCCTTATAGCAGGAATTATGTTTCATAAATTATCTTTATGTTGAAACAAACAGAAAAGAGGAAATTTGATCATTTCCTAGATACTGTGTGCTTTTAATAGCTCATCACTGGTAACATAATCATAATAACTCATAATCAAGAGTTAACAGGCTAACATGTAAAAATGTGACTTTAAATAGGTACGGAGGACAGCTTGTAGAGAGGCTACCAGGATACATAGAGGAGATACAAGTGGCCATCTAGAGTTTCTATACTTCATTCTTTTTGCAGAATATTTATTAAGGTTGTTTAATATACAATTTTCACTTGACACTTTGGAAGTCCTTTATTGTAAAGATAATTCTTTTGTCTGATGACAAACAGCAGCCACAGTGATCATTCTGGACCTCCACGCTGAAAAGAGAAGCATAGAACAGTGAGATGAAATACAAATTGGCCATTATTTATACAATAAAAATGATCTTCAGGCTTTGGCTGGATTTTTGAGACAAGGTCTCACTCTGCAACCCAGACTGGCCTAGAAATTCACTCTATAGCCCAGACTGTCCTCTAAAAAATCACAGCAGTCCTCCTCCTGCAGCCTGCTGAACACTGAGATTACAGTCGTGAGCCACCAGGCCCATATATCTTTGATTTTAAAAAAAGGGGGTAGGGACTAGGCTGTGGCAGTACATGCACTCGGGAGGCAGAGGCAGGCAGAACTCTGTGAGTTTGAGGCCAGTCTGATAACAGAGCAAATAATAGGACAGCCAGAGCTGTTACACAGAGAAACCCTGTCTCAAAAAAGCAAAAGCAAAACAAGACACATGGGGAAGGGCCTAGGTCCTGGAGATCCCCCCAAGGAGGGCCTCACCCTCCCTGGGGAAAGATGTGGGGATTGGGCTGGGGGGTGGGGCTGGGAGGGAGAAGTTGGGGGAGCTGGGATTAACATTTGAAGCATGCATGTTTCTAATTTAAATTAAAAAAAGGAAAAAAAAAAAACTTTCCAAGCCTCTTGGTGCAGGCTTGTAATACCAGCTACTGGAAAATCCAGGCTGGAAGACCACAAGTTCAAGCCTAGTCATAGCAATTTACTGTGACCCTGCTGCAAAATACATTGTAAAAGGAAATCTAAGGGTGTTGTTTATTGGGAGAGCAATTGCCTGCCATGTGTGATGCCAAAGGTTTTATTTCCCATGCCACAAAATAGATTATAACTTAACATATTTTCATTTATCCTTTAGAAAAATTTTAACCAATGGAAAAAAAAAGAAACAAAACAAACAAATCCAAGGTTTTGTGTAGTTTTTTTTTGTTTTGTTTTGTTTTTTGTTTTTTGAGGCAAGGTTTCTCTGTGGCTTTGGAGGCTGTCCTGGAACTCACTCTGTAGACCAGGCTGGCCTCGAACTCACAGAGATCCACCTGCCTCTGCCTCCCGAGTGCTGGGGGGTTTGTGTAGTTTTGAGGCACTTATAGTAAATGTTATAAATTCAGATCTAGAAAGGATTCAATATTGATGACAAAGCTGGGTGTAGTAGCACATGGGAGGGAAAGGCAGAAGGATCTCAGTGAGTTTGAGGCCAGCCTGGTCTCCATAGAATTTCTAGGATAGGGGCTGGAGAGATGGCTCAGAGGTTAAGAGCACTGGCTGGTCTTCCAGAGGTCCTGAGTTCAATTCCCAGCAATTCAATTGCACAACCATCTGCAATTCAATCTGGTGCCCTCTTCTGGCGTGTAGACAGAACACTGTATATGTAATAAATACATAAATCTTTAAAAAATAAAAGAGAACAGTTTAAAAAAAAAAGAAATTTCTAGGATAGTCAGGGCTGCATATAAAGATGACTGTTGACATCAGTTAGCCTCCAATTTCCCATGGCCTTAGAAGCCCCTTACAGTGTGGAAGGTTCTTACCCCTCACTCAGAGAGCTTATTTTCAGGTGCTTTTATGCTTTGTTGAGACTGAACCCAGGTTTTGGCACATGCTAGACAGTTCTATTAATGAGCTACATTCGCCAGCCCTTCCTATGTGTTTATTTCTTTGTATGTCGTGCACACTCACTGAGGATCCCAACAGCGATTTGTGTCTGACAGCCCTACTCTGTCTCTGCATCTCCCTTAGCTATGATCCCATTTGACAAAGCAAAGGGAAGACGGTGTACATCCGCAAATGACCACTGCAAAGCCAAATGTCACGGCACTGTGCACAGCCCCGTGCTAAAGAGCAACAACATACCTGGATAAATTCCATTTCTTCTTGAGACATAGGTTTCCTTCTGTATTTCTGAGGTAATGTCTTTAGTATTTCTGCAGTGTCTGGAGGCCCGGGATGCGCCAGCAAGTCTGGGGATATACTTCCTTTAGAATGTTGTGAAATTACAGATGAGTGAGACGGTAGCCCAGCAGATCTCAAAGCTTCTGAGGCTGAAATGAAAACCAGATTAGACAAATTATCCAGGTGTCTTTTTTTTTTTTTTTGGTTTTTCGAGACAGGGTTTCTCTGTGGCTTTGGAGGCTATCCTGGAACTCGCTCTTGTAGACCAGGCTGGCCTCGAACTCACAGAGATCCATCTGCCTCTGCCACCCGAGTGCTGGGATTAAAGGCGTGCGCCACCAACGCCCGGCTGCTTTGTGGTTTCTATGATTTACTTTTCTTTAGACTGTTCCCTGGGATTGGAGTGATGGCTCAGTGGTTAAGAGCTCACGCCATTCAGTTCCCAGCACACATACCTGGCAGCTTACAACTGCCTGTAACTCCAACTCTAGGTGATCTGACACCCCTCTGTCCTCATGTACAAGCATATACCTGTGTGTGTAAATAAACGATAATAAAAATATTTTTAAAAAATATTTCCTGGGCTGGAGAGATGGCTCAGAGGCTAAGAGCACTGACTGCTCTTCTAGAGGTCCTGAGTTCAATTCCCAGCAACCACATGGTGGCTCACAACCATCTATAATTCAATCTGGCACCCTCTTCTGGTATGCAGGCAGAACACTGTATATGTAATGAATAAAATAAATCTTTAAAAAAAATATTTCCTATGCCATACTGTTTTTTTTTTTAAGATGTATTTATTTATTTAATTATATAGACAGTGTTCTGCCTGCATATCAGAAGTGGGCACCGGATCTCATTACAGAGGGTTGGGAGCCACCATGTGGTTACTGGGAATTGAACTCAGGACCTCTGGAAAAGAAGTCAGTGCTCTTAACCTCTGAGCCACCTCTCCAGCCCGCCATACTGTTTTTAAAGCATATTATTTGAAGGGAAATCAATTTTGTTCTTAGATGCCATTTTCTTTTTTGTTGTTTAATGTTTTCTTTTTAGTGCTGGGATTAAAGGCGTGCACCACCAACTCCCGGCTCCAGGTGTCTTTATTTTTTTTATTTTTATTTTTATTTTTTTGGTTTTTCGAGACAGGGTTTCTCTGTGGCTTTGGAGGCTGTCCCGGAACTCACTCTGTAGACCAGGCTGGCCTCGAACTCACAGAGATCCGCCTGCCTCTGCCTCCCAAGTGCTGGGATTAAAGGCGTGCGCCACCAACGCCCGGCTTCCAGGTGTCTTTAAATGTTACTTTTGAACTACTTATCATAACTACCTACCTAACTATTATTTGAATAACCAAGCCATCCTTTAAATAGGTCATTGGGGCTGGTGAGATGCACTTAAGAGCACGTGGCTTTTCCAGAGGACCTAGGTTTATTCCGAGCACCTACAGGGACAATCAAGCTGTTTATAACTCCAGTTCCAGAGGATCTGACACCCTCTTCTGGCCTCTGTAGGTACCAGGCATGCATGTGGTACTCAGACATAAGCACCCACACACGTTAAATAAATAAAACTAAAAAATAATTTGCCAGGCGGTAGTGGTGCATGCATTTAGTCCCAGGACTCAGGAGGCAGAGGCAGGCAGATCTCTATGAGTTTGAGACCAGCCTGCTAGTTCCAGGACAGCCTCTAAGCCACAGAGAAACCCTGTCTGGAAAACCAAAAAAAAAAGAAAGAAAGAATTCATGTCATTCTTCATTTTGCCTGTAGCAATCCTCCTCAAGCTTCCAAGGGCTAAAATTGTAGGTATACACTACTATACATGGCTTCCTAAACTATTACAATCTCACACACACATTATATTATGCATATAAAATGTTCTTTTTGAAAGAAACAGTAGTTTGTTTTGGTTTTTTGAGACAGGGTTTCTCTGTGTAGCCCTAACTGTCCTAGAACTCGATCAGTAGACCAGGCTGGCCTTGAATTCAACAAGTATTGACCTGTCTCTGCCTCCTGAGTGCTGGGATTAAAGGTGTGTGCCGACACTACACAGCCTTTTTTAATTTTTTAATAGTAGCCTTTTTTTTGTTTTGTTTTTGTTGCTGGGGTTGGACGCAGGTTCTTGTACAAGCTAGGCAAACAATCACTGAGTCACAGCTACTGCTTTTATTTACTTGTATGATAAGGTTTTACTATGTTGGCCAAGCTGGCCTTGAATTCCTGGGTTCAACTGAACCTTCTGCTTCAGCTTCTTGAGTACCTAGGATTACAGGTGTTCGTCTCCATGCCTAGCAAAGTAGTTTAAAGAAAGTAAATTATGTGAGTTCGAGGCCAGCCTGGTCTACAGAGTGAGTTCCAGGACAGCCTCCAAAGCCACAGAGAAACCCTGTCTCGAAAAACAAAAACAAAAAGAAAGTAAATTATGACTAAGATGGTTCAGAAGCTAAAAGTACTTGCCACCAAGCCTGATAACCCAGGTTTATCCCTGGCACAGCCCTCATGTGGCAGAAGGAGAGCACTAACTCCTGTAAGCGGTCCTGACTTCCACACATGCACTGTGCCAAGCACTCGTGCCCACACACACACACACACACACACACACACACACACACACACACACACACACAATGAATACAGTGAAAACAGTTTTAGAAGTAAATTAGTAGGCCAGGTAAAGTGGCACACACTTGTAATTCCAGCACTTGGGAGGCAGAGGCAGGAGGGTCACTGGGAACTGAGAGACCAGTCTGGTCTACATAGGTCAGGCAGGACTACCTAGCAAGACCCAAATGGCTTTTGAGCTAGAGACAGCTCAGCCATTAAAGGTTCCCATTTATCTTCTAAAGCGTTCACATCATCAAAGCCTGTTTCCCCAGCTTCCCTTTAGGGGCAGCTGATTGAAGCTCAGTGATTGAAGGCACTTGTGCCAAGTCAGAAGCGCTGTGTTCAATTTCCAGCTCCCGCTGGGTGACTCAAAACCACCCATAACTCCAGTTCCAGAGGATCTGATGCCCTCTTAGGACCTCTGTGGACACCAGGCACACATGTTGTACACATACATACACGGAGGAAAAACAGATACACAAAATTGTAATTTATTAAAGAAATACAATAAAATAAATAAAACAGGGATAATAAAAGTGTCTTATTAGCTGGGTGTGGTGGTATATACCTTTAAACCCAGCACTCTGAGAGGCAGAGGGGCTCTGTGATTCAAGACCAGCCTGGTCTGTATATCCAGTTCCAGGTCAGCCAGAGACACATAGCAAGACCCTATATAAAATAAATAAATGAATAAATATATATTTTAAAAGCTAATTACTTGCATGCTACTTGAGTAGCATTTTGATCTAAAGTACAACAACCTACCTGATTAAAAAATAAGAAATACTACTTATACTATTCATTTCTAAATATGAATGCATACATTTAAAAAATCTATCTAGGCCGGGCATTGGTGGCTCACGCCTTTAATCCCAGCACTCGGGAGGCAGAGGCAGGCGGATCTCGAGACCAGCCTGGACTACCAAGGGAGTTCCAAGACAGCCTCCAAAGCCACAGAGAAACCCTGTCTCGAAAAAACCAAAAAAAAATCTATCTAAATGAAGTACAACTTACCACTGAGTTTAGGATTGTCTCTTCTGTCAGGGAACCTTATTAATGGAGCATGTGGCTTCACTACCTGAAGGAAAATCAGACATGGGGGAAAAATGGTGTCATTAACTATAAAAGCAATCACCTACTAGTCCTCACAATTAAATACCTTCGTTAAAATAAATTACTCCTGAGGAGTGGGAAGTGATTCTGTTAAGAACAGGTACTGTTAGCCGGGCGCTGGTGGCGCACGCCTTTAATCCCAGCACTCGGGAGGCAGAGGCAGGCGGATCTCTGTGAGTTCGAGGCCAGCCTGGTCTACAAGAGCTAGTTTCAGGACAGCCTCCAAAGCCACAGAGAAACCCTGTCTCGAAAAACCAAAAAAACAAAAAAAAAAAAACAAAAAAAAACAAAAAAAAAGAACAGGTACTGTTGGCCCGGCAGTGGTGGCGCACGCCTTTAATCCTAGCACTCCGGAGGTGGAGGCAGGCGGATCTCTGTGAGTTCCATACCCAGCACCGTCCTCAGGACAGCTCACAACTGCCTGCACCTCAGGGGCATGTGATACCTCTGGCCTCCTTGGGGATGATACCTCTGACAGCCTCCATTCACATTGCACATCACACACACATACACACACACATATGCACGCACGCACGCACACACACAGCCAATTTTTTTGTTTTTTGTTTTTTGGTTTTTTTTTTTTGGTTTTTCGAGACAGGGTTTCTCTGTATTGTTTTGGAGGCTGTCCTAGAACTCACTCTGTAGACCAGGCTGGCCTCGAACTCACAGAGATCCGCCTGCCTCTGCCTCCCGAGTGCTGGGATTAAAGGCGTGCGCCACCAACGCCCAGCGAAAAGTACATTTTATTTTGGTAAATGTGTTGTACCTCCTGTTGGAACCTCAGCATCATGCTGACCCCACCCTCCTGGTTTTAATTTGTATCTTATTGACAAGTAAGAATTTTTTAAATTTTTGGTTGTAAACCTAGCCTTCAACGGCTGAGCCATCTCTCCAGCCTTCAAGTAAGAATTTCTAAGCATCTTTTTTTTTTCATGTTTATACTCCAGTAGGTATCTTTTGTTATGTCAATTCCTTCTCTCTCTGTCTCTCTCATACACACACCTCTCCTTCCCTCACACACACACCAACTTTTTTAAAAAATTTTTTAACATTTATTTATTTATTATGTATACAGCATATGTTTGTATGCCCACAGGCGAGAAGAGGGCACCAGATTTCATTATAGATGGTTGTGAGCCACCATGTGGTTGCTGGGAATTGAACTCAGGACCTCTGGAAGAGCAGGCAGGGCTCTTATCCTCTGAGCCATCTCTCCAGCCCCCCAATTTTTTTTAAGTTTATTTCTATTTTATTTGCATTGGTGTGTTTCGGGCATGTATGTCTGTGTGAGGGTGTCTGACTTGTAGTTACAGACAGTTGTTAGCTGCCATGTGGGTGCTGGGAATTGAACTCAGGTCCTATGGTAGAGCAGTCAGTGCTCTTAACCACTGAGCTATCTCTTCAACCCAAACCAACTTTTTTTGAGACATGGTTTTATCTACTATGTAGGTCTGGCTGTAACTCACTCTGTAAACCAGGCTGGCCTCTACCTCACTGACATCTGCCTGCGCTGGGATTAATGGTGTGTGCCAACATGCCTGCTGCTATACTCATTTCAGACCGAGTTATACATGCACTCTTGATGTATGAGGGTATTTGGTATGGATAGAAGACTTTTGTGGGCTATTCTGTCCTTGTAGAATCCTCAACGGAACAAGTAACTGAGGGTTAGTCATTACGATGGTACCAAAGGTCATCATCCAGACAGCTTCAAGAGAAAGGACTTTTAATCAGACGTGTTCGTGCAGAGGAAAATGCACTTCTAACAAAAGTGAAACTTAACAGAAAATACTCCACATTCCGAGTTACAAAAGACTGTCCACTTACTCATGAGTTTTACCTCTTCCAATAAGTTAGAGACCACAGCTGGAGAAGCAGATACAAAAGCTGTCAGGATGGGTGGGTTAGCAATGTTATTCTAGCCGCCTACCTAAACACAATGGGAAAAGCCTTGGCCAACCAACCCCGAGACATACACACTAGTAGGCAATAACCTTAACTAGCATGGCATTTCACACATTCCCACATCTGCAGCCAGGTGTCCGAAGAGATCAGATCTGAGCAGGTTCAAGGTGAGGAAGCAGCCCAAGAAGGCCAGTTATCCGGCCATTCCCAAGTCCTTGAAGGGACACCAGGTCAGAACCAGGATTTGCTTCCTTCCCCCGCCCGCTACGGCCTTCCTCCGGATTGGCTGACGGGGGGGACATCACGGACAATTTTAAACGGCGATTGGCCAAGCTGCTGAAAGACAGCGTCGTCCGCAGACTCCTAGGTCTAATGAGGTGCTGGGGAAGCCATAGACCGCAGGGCGAGCACGAGCCTACACTACCAGAGGCTACCTCGCGCCGCGCGGCTCGAACCCTCGGCGCCAGACCCTCCTTAGTTCCGGAGACCTGGAGCCCGAGGTCCCATTCTGAGACACACATCCGCTGGCTCTGACCGGGGCCGCGGTCACAGCGCCTTCTCTGCCTCCGCCTCCCTCCCCTTCCCTCCCCCCGGCGCTGCTGCTACATCTGCACCATCCCTCCCTCCCAAGCGCGGGAGTGGCCCAGGCTTTACCTGCACGACCCTGCTGGCGGAAGCCATCTTGCTGCCCATCGTGACCCCCGAGCAGGGGCAGCTTCCGGGGCGCAGGCGAGCTGCACAAGTATCAGGAGTGGGCAGCGTAGGGCGGAGCCGGTGTGATGTCACAGAGGAGCTCTAAGAGCCAGCTCCACCCCAACGCTCCAGGCCCCGCCCCTCTTCCCTCCTAGGGGCTCAGCCCGGTTCTTTTCTAGTGGAGTTCTGTAGAGCGACCGGTTGAACTATTTTGGTTCACTATCCCAAGTTATCTAGGACCATTTCCCTCCCAGATAGCTAGTTTCTAATTTCAGTACAGTTCAAATTTTAATCTGAAACGTTTTATCTGAAGCCACAATATCCCGTGGCTTCCTAACATAAATAATTTTATTAAAACTTGGAAGTTACATAGATCCCTCCCTCGCTTAGCCATCATCAGGAAAGTCTCCTCCTGTGGCAAATAGGGTCAATACGGAGACTCCAGCCAGACAACATGTATCATGAGGAACCTTGGGACGCTCAGTCCTAAAAAGGATGTCTCAAAAAGGGGTCAGGCAACTCTGCAAAAGAGAAGGAAAAGGTGTTAGCCAGAGGACAGACACCAAAGAATCATGGCCTTCAAGATGCAACAGGGCTGGCTGGCACACACCTGAACTCACAAAGACAGTGGCAGCACGCATAGGATGCACACCAGATGGGGTTCTAGAGCTGGAAGAGAAAAACGGATTCGCGCCAACCCCTAACCCAATTGATAGCCACTTGCAAATGAAAAATTAATTTTCGCCAAGGGAGTCTCACTGGAGAAACAAACCACTCTTAAGGGTCGGCACCATGCCAAACAACAGATGGTCAACGCAAAATGAACTCAACAGCATCTTTGGAGGTCCTTTGTCTAATAATGTTAAGTCTGGATGCTTTTTAAAAAACCTTACAGGTCTTTTGTATATATATTATGGCTTCCAGTTTTGTAGTATTTATTTATTTATTTTTGGAGACAAGGTTTATCTGTGTAACAGCCCTAGCTGTCCTGGACCTCATTCTGTACATCAAGCTGGCCTCAAACTCACAGATCTGGCTGCCTCTGACTATGGAGTCTTGGGATTAAAGGCGTGTGCCACCACGGCCCAGCCTGGCTTCCTGTTTTTATGGGATTCCTGTGTGCGTTTGCATATTTATGCATTTCTTGTGCTCTTTCTTTGGCTCTTTTTCTTGTTTGGTTATTTTGTTCTGTTCCAATTTGTTTGTTTTTCTTTTATCTTATTGTATTGTATTATTATTCCTGTTGGTTTTCTAACAGAGACAGTAAGGTTGTGGATCCAGATGGAGGTGAGCTGGGTAGGAAGTAAGTGTAGGGAAAAGGGACCAGTCTGAGCAGAGCCAAAGAAACACACTTTGGCCCTGCAACCACAACCAAAGAAATGTACCCTGACCCTAAAACCAGTGCCAAAGGAACATACTTTGTCCCTGGAATCAGAGTCAGTGAAAGAAATGTACCCTGGCCCTAAAATTGGAGCCAAAAGGCTAAAAAGGACCAGAGAAAGAAACACACTTTGGCCCTGAAACCAGAGCCAAATCTGACCCTAATCCTGTGTAAAAAAGTAACCAATCCCGGAGCAGAGCTCTAGCCAATCTGAGCTCAGCACTGAAATCGGACCAATCCCTACTCTGGAAAAACTTCCCCAACCCCAGGAATCCCTATATAAACTCTGTGTATGTTCAGCTTGGCTGGTCCAGCTGCCTTCCAATAAACCCCTTTGGATGAGCTTTGTTTGGGTGAAGATCTTCTTTTGCAGTGGCGACAGAGCAGAGGCGACCCTGGGCAGAGCAGAGCAGAGCCAGCAACGCTGTAACACTTGCCCGGGAAACCTTCCTTGGCAAAGCAGAGTTGTTACACTCTGCTCCCGGCTCCCCGCTCTCCAGGAGCAGAGCTGAACTGTAACAACTTCGGCAGGAGAAACCTCCTGCCAAGCAAAACTGCTACACTAGGCGAACATCCCCAGCTCGAAGACCCTGTCCTGCCGGAGCGGAGCTGATACACCAGAGAAGCCTTTCTCTGAGGCAAGGCTGTAAGCTGCCAAGCTTACTGCAACCTGTGGTGGTCCTTGGCTCCCAAGCTCCAGGATACCTTTCCACCTGAGCTGTGTAACACTCAGTATTCTGTGACTCCCGAGTGCCAGAATACCGGACCTAATCCTGTTCCATCCTGTCCCGACCCATCCCGAAACGCTTACAGTAAGAGGAGTGGGGGGAAGAAAAATCATAATAAGAATATGTAGCCGGGCGGTGGTGGCGCACACCTTTAATCCCAGCACTCGGGAGGCAGAGGCAGGCGGATCTCTGTGAGTTCAAGGCCGGGCTGGACCGACAGCCTCCGAAACAATACAGAGAAACCCTGTCTCGTTAAAAAAAAAATATGTTGTATGAAAAATTTTTATTAAAAAAAACCCTGGGATTTACCTGGAGCACAAAAGGAATGGTAAGTTTTTATTTAATGAGGGCCAAGCCCTATTCACTTGTTGATGGCACTGCTTGATTTCAGTGTATTTCTGTTTTCTACAACTCATTATTCCTGATAATTAACATTTTATCTCTGTTTAAGAGTACTCAAAAATTTCACAATCTAATTTTTGTTTTTTGAGATAGTGTCTTTCTATGTAGCCCTGGCTGTTTTGAAACTCCATATGTAGTCCAGGTTGGCCTTGAACTCACAGAGATTCACCTGATCTGCCTCCTCAGTGCTGGGACAAAAGGCATGCACCACTACTTCTGGATCACAGTTTAATTTTTGAAACAGAACCAGCCATCTCAAATTATTATATTCAAATCATTCTATAGCAATATTAATGCTTAAAGCTGAAGCAGGGGAGTTGCATGTTTGAGGCCATCTGGGGTAACAGCTTGATCCATCTTAATATATAAGGATAGGGATATAACCCATAAGACACATATAAGGTATGTGTCAGGCCCGGAGTTTAATTCTCAGCACCAAATGTATACAAATATGTGTGCATGAAAATCTATATGTTGGGGGCTGGAGAGATGGCTCAGAGGTTAATAGCATTGGCTGCTCTTTCAGAGGTCCTGAGTTCAATTCCCAGCAACCACATGGTGGCTCACAGCCATCTGGAATGAGATTTGGTGCCCTCTTCTGGCCTGCAGGGATACATGCAGTCAGGACACTGTATACATAATAAATAAATAAATCTTTAAAAAAATAAATCTATATGCTGTAAATTTTGAGAGTTACCAATTAATTCTGCTGATAAGGGCTAATGATTAGTGATTTCTAAATCTGTTGATCTTTTTTGTTGTTGTTGTTTTTTGGTTTTTCGAGACAGGGTTTCTTTGTATTGTTTTGGAGGCTGTCCTGGAACTTGCTCTGTAAACCAGGCTGGCCTCGAAATCACAGAGATCCGTCTGCCTCTGCCTCCTGAGTTCTGGGATTAAAGGCATGTGCCACCAATGCCCGGCTTCTGTTGGTCTTTTTAGAAATATAAATTACTGATCTCAAATATGGGATATTGACACAAGTGAGAAGCTGAAATGACAAAAACCTGAACTCTATGGTACTGGGTGGTGAGGCAATAGGGAGAAAGGTAAATACTATCAAAGCTTGAAAAACAACAATCATTTCACTTGGCAAAAGCCATCTGTTGTAGGGTGGAATCAGCTGACTCCTGGACCAGCGCCTCAGGAAGAAGCTGGAAAGGAGGGTCATATTGCCAGAAGTCCTGGCTGTTTGTCCTATGCTGCTAAACAGAAACTCAGCCAAGGGTTGGCCCTTCTGCCAGCAAGCACACAGAAGAGATTGCCTTCTTTTTTTTTTTTTAAGATTATTTATTTATTACATATACAGTATTCTGCCTACATGCCAGAAGAGGGCACCAGATTGAATTGTAGATGGTTGTGAGCCACCATGTGGTTGCTGGGAATTGAACTCAGTACCTCTGGAAGAGCAGTCAGTGCTCTTAACCTCTAAGCCAAAGAGATTGCCTTCTAAATCCAAAAACTTGCAGGCTCGGTCAGCTGATTGCTTCTCAGCTCCTAACTGCTACAGATGAGAAGGTGAGCACACACCCACACACTAACCAAACCCAAAAGACAGTCAAGAATATGTTTAGGGGGGCTGGACAGATGGCTGGCCTCGAACTCATAGAGATCGCCTGCCTCTGCCCCTTAGCTTCTGAGACATCTCCCCAGCTCACATGCCACTATCTTAAAAACATCCTACTGCGTTGGAAGGGTCTTTGTAACCTGTCTTGGAACATGCTCTGTAGACCAGCTAGCCTTTAACTCACAGAGGTACCATCTGTCTCAGTCTCCTGAGTTTTAGGATTAGAGGCATGCACCACCACCCCCAGCATGGAAATATTTTCTATGCGTTTAATAAGCAAAGAGCATTGAAGAAAAACTAAGTTAAAACTGGGTGTAGTAATGTAAGCCTATGAAACCCAGTGTTCAGAAGGATACAGCAGGAAGAAGACCTTCAATTCAAAGCCAGTCTGGACAACATAGTGAGGCCCTGGGTGTGTGTGTGGGGCACCAGAGTTTAAAGGGATGTAATTTCCACCAGCCTATTTAAGAAGGTCTTTGTGAGGATTGCATGAAAATGCAGATAGCAGGTACATCCTAAATGTTGCCTTTTACTACTTGCCTTCTTGTGAATCAGAAATGGGGGTTAAAGTGTCAAGAGCTGTGCCTCTAAACACTTCTGGTCTCCTACGTTCTCTAATAAAACCAGGAGAGTGTTGACCTACGTGTGAGACAGTCACTCAAACATATTTCCAGGGATTGGAAGGGATGGCTCAGCAGTTAAGAGCATTGGCTGCTCTTCCAGAGGGCCTGGGTTTGATTCCCAGCACCACCTGGTGGCTGACACCCATCTTTATTCTTCTGGCTTCTGAAGTCACCAGACACAAACATGGTACACAGACATATATGCAGACAAAACACCCACCCACACACATAAAATAAAAATCATTTTAAAAAACTTTTTTTTCTTTTTTTGGTTTTATCAAGACAGGGTTTCTCTGTGGCTTTGGAGGCTGTCCTGGAACTAGCTCTTGTAGACCAGGTTGTTCTCGAACTCACAGAAACCCACCTGCCTCTGCCTCCCGAGTGCTGGGACTAAAGGCGTGCGCCACCACT